AAGTTTTCATGTGGATTTTGTTAGCGAAAACGGAAAGCCTTTTTACATGTTCTAAAGACGAAGAAGTTTTCATTAATAGCTGTAGAAAATATTTTATCGCTGAGTTAGCAGTCTCTTCACGAATATCCATACAAATTTTATTTATAGTCAGCTGCTGTTTTAAATAAAAAGCTTCCATCTGTGTCTGTCCTCCAGCGGGGTATGGGAACCATTCAGATGGCTGGGGTGGCGAACTGTATTTACTCTAGTGACGGTACTGGCACCAAGGGGTCACATTAATGTATAAACATACCATGTTTAAAGAGCTGGTGTACTATTTGAAACTTAGTTAGGCTTGCTGATTTTATAGCTTGAAAATTGAAAAGCAAGAGCTGAATTGGGTGAAAGTCCTCTCAAGATTGGCGAAGAGAAAAGGGGTGTGATGGATTGTCAATAGTGTAGAAAGAAAGGAAAGTGAAAAGAAAAACTTCAATGCGCAGCGTAAGCAAGCCGCGAAGGGTGAGATGCATGTTGGAGAGATAGTAGCAAGCGAAGCTGAGCTCAAGATGAGCCGTAGACCCCGTCGAGGAGGTAGGGCGAGGACGGGTCCTTATGTTGGCGTGCTAGCTTTGTGACCACAGCAGCATCGCTGAGCGCAAATAATCACGTCCGAACAAAGCGTAGCACCCCGGAAAAGTAGAGCGAGTAGGCCTTAACAACTTATGAACGGCGTTTTTGATGCTTGCCGACGATTCAGAGCTGGTTCTCGGCATCCTTCGAGCGTTTATCGCAGAACATCAACGTTTTTGGCGCTTAAGTGTGCAGCAAGGTGTGTGATCCACACCTCTCTGTCTTGTTTTGCCTGTCTGGGCTACTCATTGCACAAAAAAGCAAAGTCCCACTATCCTTGAAACTGGAAGCAGGCTTTTCCTATTATAAAAATAGTGGATGTTCTCATAAAATTAGATCATCCGACTCGGTTTTTCTCTTTGCAAAAATTCGCTTTCTACGGTGACTTACAGCTAGCGAATATAAAATTAGTTTAACTTTCTTAGAAATTTCGTATTTGAAGTGAACATCATTGAATATGTGTCTAAAGATATCAATTCTATTCCCATTACATCCGCAAATATTTAGCTCTGCAAAACTCGTTTTCAATCGAAGCTAGAAAAAATTTCTTCCATACGTTATTCTATTTTTTGCCTAGCTAACTGTCTATAACGCTTTCCATCATAGTGCAATTTCTTTTTAAGTATAAGAGATATTTCATAGGTAAAACACTGGTGGAAATTTGAAAGATGGAAAGATGGTGGAAATTTCTGCCATATTTTTTCCGCAAGCCAAAATGAAACTCTCTGAAAAAAAGTGACCTAGAGATTTTTACCGCAGGTCAGATCAAAGTGTAGTTTAAAGATCGAACCAAGTAGAAGACGTGCAAGTGCGATAACAAGCCACCTTCAGATAAAGAAGTGATAAACGACAGAGAAACAGCTGCAGCGCAAATTTGGCCCCTCAAATTGGGGTCAAGACCACGCAAGCGAGAGGGAACACACACTATTATGAACCTCGGTGTTCGCTGCCCGTTCTTCGCCCACTGAACACTTCCAGGTCCTCCTTCCCTTCATTGTCCGTCTCTTCTTTCCGTTCAGCATAACGGGCGAAAAACTTTGGAGATGAGTGAGAGTAACTGATTGTTGGACGCAAGCGCTTGAAGACTCGCGTGAAGAGAACTACAAATACCTTACCCTGTCTCACGCCTTTAAGATAGAAGGGCGTAAAATAGTATTTTATAGATGAGTGACACTAGTATTGGGTACGTGTTTGGGAATTCTGGAAGACTATACTTGCGCACCCTCCACAATTCTTGTAGCCCAGATCAACTTCAACGTAACTCCCTTTTTTATAGTTTTTCAAAAGTCCAAGCATTATCTTATGTGGTACAATTATCCTAGCATTAACGTACATATCATGAAGTTTTTTCACGGATCTCTTATTCTGAAGAATTTTGATCCAATTGGTTTGAAGCAGACACTAATATGTACATTATGCTGGAAGGTGTCTGCGTGCTATCCGTTTATGCACACTTTAGTTTCATGAATGAGCAGAGGAACAGCAATTTATAACAAGTCAGAACTTTCAATGATCTGGACGACTGCGTCATTTTTGAGAATTAATGAAGCGAAAGTTTTTTAGAGATCGCGTTCGCGCAAAGTGCATCGCTGACTTGAGATTTTCCGTCTTCCGTTTTATGCGGCTTTTTTTATTCAAGTGTCTCGCCTTCTTCAAAAAACTCGTTGCGATTGGATAGTGCGGAAGGATCTTCAAATATAACAATGTATTTCCTCGCAAATTGCATGACAAAAGCTAAAAATGATTTTTCACTTCAAGCAGCACACTCTAGTGAGATATCTATCAACTACACATCAATCGCAAAAATCTGCATCAGCCAAAGAAAACTTGAGGCTTCATTATACTCCTCGGAAAGCAAAAGAAGTATCTAAAAGGTGTGATAGGAATTAGTCCCTAAGACGATAGCTGGGGGATCTTAAAACCACAGACAATTTGGGAAGGCAATGACGCCATTTCTGAGAGAGCCATATGTGTGACAAGTTTGATTCACTCAATTTTGTGCAAAATGACCATTTACTGTATTCAATCCGCTGTGACATGATCACCTCCTTGTTCCTAGTGAATACTTTGAATTTGTTGTCAAAAGTAATCACAAATTAACAACTTTGACTCACTATGCTATAGAAAACCATAATTAATATGATGCTAGTGGCAGACTGAGGGAAGGGGGCGCAACTCCCCTCCTCCTTTCCCGAGATTGGGTCGCATAATTTTGGCTTGTCCACATGAGTTACCAGCGTAAGTGACTTGTTTAAACTTGTAAATGACTGAAGTAATTTGTGATATTTTTGAGAATCCTGATAATTTTAAGAATTCAAATCAACCTTGTAAAAAATCGGGCTTTTTTGAAATTTCAGGGCTATGAATCCGCCAAAACTTTGCGAAGTATTCCAAAAAAACGACATGCGCACTTTTATACCGAGAATTTTTTGTCCCCCCCCCCAGAACGGAATTTCTGCGACCGCCACTGGTTAGTACATGAATTTGAACCGAAAAATGTGTGAAACTCTCCAATTTATCATTATTATCTATAATTGTAGTTAACAAATACTAAAACTTATTTTCGATCAAAACTTCTGAAACACTCGATCAATAATTTTTCTTTCTTAGAAAACTCAGACCATGAAGTTTAAACTTCATAATAACTTTAAATAATTAGAACCAGCTGGTTTCGAATTTTCAGTATTTTTGGCATTTGAAGTTCGAAAAAGTCGGTCTGAGTGTTTCGCTTCATCATGTGCTGCAACGAGCGATACTAACACATTCAGGTTAAAAATGCATGATCTCTTTATCTGTAAAATATATCGAATCAGACAAATCTGTTCAGCTAGGGAGATAAGTGCTTGGCTCCTCTAGCCGCATTTTATGTTTGAAACAAAAAATGCTACTAGCGTATGTGATGACTATAATAAACACGTGACTGCACAATGTACACACTTACAGATAAAGTTTTTCTTCTAATAATAAGATGCATTTGCTATTGAGAACAAGGCGTGATACAATAGCAATAAATGACAATAGCTTCTCTGAGCTGGTTCCTTGGCTTCATCGCCGTAATTATTCAATATGTACGAGCAGCAGCAAGACAATTAGTCTCTGATGTGATCCACTTCTTCAAGAGATTGTAACGACACGACTTTGGCATAGCTTCCACAAGGGCATCGCTTTGTGTAAGCTTAAGGTACAATATATATATGACCAACCTCTTTCAAAAAGTCCAGAGGGAGGTACTATCTGACATTTGGGCGCTCTTGGAGTTTATCGCGCTCCACGGTGGCAGTCGCATCGCAGCATCTCGCGATGCTCCTGAGCATTGGCATTGAGGTCGAAAACGAAGTGCGCATTTTTCTTCCTAATTTGCAAGCACTATCATCATTACACTCAAGTTGTCATTCTCTAGCCTAGGATACTAACGCTTTGCAGATGCAAGTCAAAACACTGCTTTGCCTTACATTGGACGACTTACTGCATCAGTAGAAGCACAGATGTGAGCTTATTAGCAACGTATGCGCTAGCGTTCTTCAAGATCTTAGCCAAAATACATAAGCTGCATACCTCAGAATTATTCCCATAGATACCCGGAAGGCAGCCACACTGATAGTATAGGTTGCTCCATGACAAAGGCGCAATTTCTTTGGGCAGAACGTTGCTTTATTAGCTGCGGAGTGCATGAGACGCAAGATGTACAACGCTGAATATATGCGCCTCACGCCCGCTTGCCTGATATGGCTTCTGCTCCTTCGTCATGCAGTAACCTAAGTCTATGGGAACAATTCTGCACGATACGTTTCGAGGAAAGATGGCCGAGAACGTTTTGGCTACGTCTCTTAAACATCTATATGCGCTTCGACGTTTGGGTTTTGTATCACTTGGAATCTATAAAGAAATATATTCGAGATCATTAAACAGTGTGCAGCAGCGTTTTCGAGCATCCTAGTCTCCGAACGGATAATAGGCGATATCTATCATCGGCTCCCAGATTCGTACACAGCCATAGCAGCTCAGGGTAGGGTACCAGCTCAGGGTACCATAGGTTGCCTGCAACGGTTGTCGGTGTTGTCGGGGGTCAGAGGCAGTCTAGAGAGCGCGCGAAACGTGGAGGCTATCATGAGGTCCTACAACGACCGGCAACCTCGGCAACACCGACAACATCGACGACGCCGACAACACCGACAACCGTTGCCGGCAACCTATGGCCGTTCCCTCAGGATCTTCGCTCCCCTACCAAATGAGGGAAGCACATGAGAATATGTATCGTTGAGTCACATTTGACTAATATATAAACAACGCGCGCGTCGTTTCGCGCATGCTCCAATATGACAATTTCCAGGCACATCCCCGTTGCTTCCCTCATTTTGCAGTTTCCGGCGCGTTGCGATTCAGGCGGGTTCGGACAAGTTCCGGCGCGGCTGCAGGATGCCTCAAAGCGTGGCAGTTTTTATATCGAGAGAGTAAAGGGCTCGGTATACTTCACGCGATTTCAGTCGCGACACGACCTGGCAATTCGCCAGAAGTCTTCAGATCCAAGACTAGCAAACTGCACATGTATAGTGTGTATAACTAACCTGGATTGATTGAAATGCCCTATCTACTGTACATTAAAATGTGCTTACAATGAGTTATGGACAGTTGGAATATTGCCAAAGCCTCGCGACTGAAATCGCGTGAAGTATACCCGGCCCTTAAGAAAAGCAATGCTTTAACGTGAAATTCAACAAGTTCATCCAGTTATCATAAGAATCCGTTTGCCTCCTTATCGTCCCAACCACAATCGGTACCCTTTCGCGTCTTGGACCTGCGGCATAGCTAACATGTTGGCAACTGTTGACATCAAGGCAAGAGCGAGACGTCCGAAAGGATCGTACTGATCGGTTTCGACTGAAAAATATAAAAAAGTTAGAATCTACCTTGTTTCTTCCGGATCCCACTACGTTGTCATATGCCGCTGGTTCGAGACGCAAAGCAGAGGTGGTAGCAGCTGAGGAGGGGACGATACGAATCTGGGGGCTGATCATATAGTGTCTATGGACAACGTTATGTTCAGGCATTCGGCGACCACTTTCCAAGCACTTACACTATCAAGAGCTTTTCAGCTGTACATTGCTTCTATAGGCAGAGATATACTTCTTTTTCGGTGGGTTTCTTTTGCTTTTGAACACAATCTCATTAAACGCATCGTGTCTTTATCACCAACTTGCGCAAGCGGGTTATCTCGAGGGACCATGTTTGGCAGATCCCGCTCAAGAGTCAACTTCCTTCTTCGACTGTTTGCAGTGCTTCGGTACAAAACGCTTTCAACCACTCATGAGCGTTGGTGGGGTGGAGGACTATATGTCCCCGAATGTGGAAGAGTCCCGCGCGGATTTCCTTCAGGGACGCATGCACAAGGGCCAGCGTCAAGCGGTCGCGGCCTTCTCGCTTGATCTAGCGCTGCTTTCCGAGCGTGTTTTGTGGTTTTCCTGGCCTCAATCGTTGCACAGAAAATTGTACAGCAGATACGTTCGCAAAAGAGCTAAGCCAGGCTCGGAGGCTGAAGGCCAAAGTTGTTCGAGCTGTGACTGTCATTGATACAGCCTCTAGATTTCTCCCCTTTTGGAGACTAGGATACACGGAACTGTTTTATGGACATGTGTCTATTGAGACTCGTGGCTTGACTTCATCTTGGTTGTTTTACTACTTGATAAGAGAGTGCCAGAGTTTGCTGGACACTATGTTAGCGGTTTCATATATCGCGGTCTTAGATACACATATCTGATATGTCAGCTTACAAATGACTCAAGACATAAATTGAACTTAATGGACAAAGCTGCCAGCAAATATCAAATTTTCAACTTTCAGATAAAAGTACAAAATAATTTCTTCAAATGGCTGTCAACCACGGTCATGTGCATCCACCGGCGCAGCAGAGTGATGGTTATGTCAAAATTGCATCCTTACAACCACAGATGAATTCTATCAACACTTTTGGGATTGTTTTGGAAAATCGTGAGTTAGAAGATTTGCTGCACAGTTCATATGTACTTCTTGAGTGATTTATTCGTTTTTCTCGCCCTTTGAGGTACATATATAATAAGCTAGTTGAGTTTTCCATGTTGTGAACTGACTGGTTGAACTTGTTACTCAATTCATGTACCTCACATCTATACTCAGACACTCGGTGCGTGCAGCGCGCGCGCCTTTATGCTCAAGCCGGCAAAGCGCGTGCCATATTTTGGGGGCGTGTTCGGCAGGGCGCCAAACGCGCGCCATACTAGACGCACGCGCGCCATACTTGACGCGAATGCAGAATTATCTGCGACACGCGTGCCTTTTTATATGAAAATACGCGGCGCGCGTGCTTTTCCGTTGTTATGCAGCAGCGCGAGCGCGATTTAGCTTTTAGCGCAGCGGTGCGCGTGCCCAAAAGGACGCCGAGTTGCTTTTTCAAAAATAACCTCGTCCCCTGCCCCTATTTTTGAAGTTTTACTGTTATTTTTTACGAGTATTTGTCTTTATTTGTAACTAAGACTTTCATTTTGATTTTTTTTCTTGATTTGATGTATTTTTTGTGAACTTACTTTAGTTGATTGTCGTTATTATTAACCTTTCTTCCTTACTGACGAGTTCCGGGAAAGGCTTATTCTTTTTTGCATTCGTGTTTTCGAATTCAAGAATATTCGCTGAGGCTGAACGGAAGAAGCGGCAGGGACGCCAAACTCAAAACCTCCCCGATGAGATTGAAACCACCTTGATCGGTATGCGGTTTTCCGGATAAGGAAGTCTTCTACTTTTTTTTATTCAGATTTTGCTGACGATATGATGGGATACGGGTACGACGAACTGCTACCAGGCGCGGTTGTGGATTTTGAAAACTCGAAGTAGCGTATCATTTCGTCCATGTTGTCTTTCCAACAAGTTTTATTCATTGCAGATTTTACGCTAGTCTTGGCACAGACGAAGCCGAAAGAAAGCAAAATTTTGATCAGGCTTCGCGTGAGAAAATGCGGTGGCGTCCACAGCTCTTCAAGGCCCTGCTATTCGCACTGTGCGTAATCAATTCTTACAGGTTATAACGCAGCCTTAGTTGCTAATATATATTTCAGACGAGATATTAGGTCCTATACGTACAAGGAAAGCGAGTCGAAATGGATACCGTACAAGGTAAAATTGTTTGCTGTTTGATTAGTATCTCATAGATTCATTGCAGCGCCAGTCGAAGAAAGTCGCGGACGAAATGATCGACGATGGGGCAGTAACAGGAGACGACGACGATCTATTCATTGCTGATGAGTGAAGTTCCGTGATAGCAATATTTGACTTACATATGTTTATTGCATGTACATGATGCCATTCCGTTACATATGTATTTGATTGTACACTATTTGATCCACATTCTCATCATTTAGTGTCTTTAAAAGCTTTAATTACATAATTAATGAAGGTTTGCTGAAGTTGTCCAGTCATTTTTCTGCAGAAATAAAGTTTTAAAAGGTTTAGTCCGCTGGAAGTTTAGCCGTTCAAATTTGGCGCGCGGGTCAATGATTAAAACAAAGAAAATGAGAAAATGCTGACCATTCGCGTGCCAAAATAGCAGCCATCCGCGTGCAAGAAATCGCAGCCGCTCGCGCGCTTAAAATCGCAGGCATCCGCGGACGAGCATGCAGCGGCGCGGGAGTCAATAGCGCGCCATCCGCAGACTGGGTGTCGCGCCACCCTGCAATTGCGCGCGCGCTGCACGCACCGAGTGTCTGAGTATATATAAAACTCAAAAATTGTCAGTTTGGAGGCTATGTGCGTTATAGAAATGCGCGCCGCTCAACCAATTCAGCTGAAACTTTGCACACATATGTTTTTGACCCTTGCGCAGATGATAGGCTACTTTTTGCGGCGATTCGTTTGGTCCTTCTATCGGTTTATTGATTTGTTTACGTTTTTCTAAGGAATTAAGGCTTATCATGTTCAGTCAAGCATTTTCCCATAATCTGTAAAGGAGGGCGGTGAAGCTCATTTTAACCTCATTATCACGAGGATGCGGTTTGAAGCGGATGTCCCTAGGGTAAGTCATCCATAACATATAAGGGGGGGGGGGGGGCTTGCAGTGCAAGTGAACGGAACAAGGCCCGGGCTGGACCGGGAAAGCCAACTAGTATAAAATATGGGCTTGATTCTGCCACCTACGTCACTTTCCGTTGAGCATAGTTCTCAGTGTGTAAGTCTTTAAAGGCAGTGTCCGGGCAAAAAGTCGATTTTGACATTTTGTGGTTACCCGGGCCTATTCATTATGCTGAATCCAAAAATCCACATTGGAAAGCACAAAAACGGCAAAAAAGGGCTCTAACGCAGGAGGGAAATCGAAAGTGGGAGGAGTCTTCCCCACTGTGAATTTCGCAGTCCCAGCTTCTGGAGCGATCTTCGCAATTCCCCTAGCGCCCTGAGATCTCCACCGGCCAGGTGCGAATGCATAACTTGAACTCGAAACCGAGAAGATCGCTCCGGAAACTGGGAGCGTGAATTCACAGTGGGGAGGACCCCGCCCACCTGCTGATTGCCCTCCCGTGTTAGAGCCGTTCTTCGCCGTTTTCGCGCTCTCCAATTTGCATTTTCGGATTCAGCGTAGCGAAGAGGCCCGGGTAAGCAAAAAATCTCAAGATCGAGTTTTTGCCCGGACACTGCCTTTAAGTGGCCGCAAGCTAGTGTAAAGGTTGCGTTACCTTTTTCTTTCTTTTTTTGCCTAATGTCAGAATTGTAGTCATTGCTGAAAAAAGGTTTGAGAAGGTCTCTAGAAGGTTGAGTAGCCGACGTTTTTCTTACATAACGCCCCATTCACTTGTCAAAATTTGCTTCAAATCCACATATTGCGATTGTGCTTCAAGACCTATATTATCTGCTTCCACTTTCCTTAGCTTTGTATGCAAATTTATGCCCTTTGTTTCCTCTTCCATAGTGCCTTATCCATCATTAAAATGGGTAGTCAAGAGCTCCCCCTATAAAATAAATCTACTACTTGCAGATCCTGTTCGACGGCTGGCAAATGGTGGCTTAGTCGTAAGCATGCGTATCGCCGACCCTTCAGGATCTATCATTTTCAGTATCATGAATGCTGAGATACAGGATCTCTTCGAACCGGGCGATATAGTAAAGATCAAAAATGGATTCACTAACATATACAGAGTGAGTCATGGATATATTTGGATATGACATATCTGCAGTTACCCCTCTGTCGGCCACTGAAGCTAGTGGGGTCAGTGAGAAGCATACGATCAATGCTGCTTTTACGAAAGTTGACGTAACTTTGTCTTAGGGAATGCTGAATTTGTCCTGCGGAAGGCAAGGCGAGTTTATGAAATCTGGCGACTTCATGCTGGTTTACTCTGAGACGCCTAACATGAGTGAGTTCAACAGCGAGTATGCAGCCTTGGAACGAGCTCGAAAACCGTCGCCACCTCCAGAGGGAGAGGTGAGTTATCTTTTAATGGGTTCGAATACTGAAATGATTTTGTGAAGTGGAAAAGTTTGCAGAATTCAAGTCAGTCCAACAATGTAGCTGCCGATCCGCGCCGTACACAAGGAGTTCGAGCAGGAGCTCCCTCTCACAAGCGGCCACCCCCTGCGCATCAGTCAGGTCCTCCTCACAAACGGGTGGATCAGGGAGGACACTATCGCGGAAGACCATGACAATGCTAAAAGAGGAAGGAGAGAAAAGAGAAGGGATGTTGTTCAGAATTTATTTCTGTACTTGATTGTGCGAAAGCAATTTAGTGGCTGTGACAGTATACTTGGTTTTTCTGTAGGTGCGTATTTCAGCATATGTGGACGGGTCCTATTAATCATCAGTCAATGAAGTTTTAACGATGAGTTTGTTTTGCGCTTACAATATCTGCTTGTCGCACGGAGAAGTGCTTCTGTCTTGTCTTTATCATCAGTTCAAAGAGGATGCCAATGAAGTCGCCTTTCCTTGACTCTCAATGTACTTCAACTACACTCTCGACCTATTGTAATCAATTCGAACTCCCTCCGAAACAACAAATGAACGAGTTAATATGTGCCATCTATGATCGGCCCCCAGATTCGTGTGGAGGCAGGTTGCGGACTTCCCTGTTTAACACATTGACGAACGAACCACTTTGGGCGAAACTCCCACCAACATTTTTCGCGCATTTGGTCCGTGCATATGCTTGTATGCACTGAAACATCTTTCTCACACTTATTCAAAAAACATGCGAATTTTGTTCAGAGATACATGTATATCACATGTATCACATGTATACATGTATATCACAAAGTCTTACCAGAGACTGCAAAAACCTGGATTTGTCTAAGTCTTACAAGACCTCCAATGAACTGTGCAATGGCCATAGGAATTTGAGGAATCCCTCTTCGAGGAAAGGTGTTGTAATACAAGGTGTTTTTCGCCTTATTCATCCTTGTTTGCTTTAAAACAGCTATACAGAGTTTTCGTCTTCTTGGAAGAACGTGATTAGCAATTCACCACATCGAAAACGGACTGATTACCCGATTTTGCGGCCAAAACTTCTGAACAGCTGCCATGCCCTGTGTTCTGTAATAAGACAATCAGAAAAATTTTTCGATGAAGGTGCATAGCGCCAGCCACGCACTCCAAAAATTTTTTCGTATGCTTCCTAAAATATTCGCGGGCTTAGAACCCTGAAGTTTCAAAAAAAAGGGGGGTGGCGTCAGCCACGCCCCCAAAAAATAATTTTTATAAGGCCAAAAGGAATTCAAAAATTTTGAAAATTATCTCAATAATTTACAAGTGCAGACAAGTCATTTGCACAATTTTATAGCCTATGTAAGTAACTTTCAAAAATTTCGCAACCCGTTCTCGGGGGGGGGGGGGGGCGGCGCCCCTGGGGCATATACACACGGTCGTCAACGTGATAAGGATAAGCTCAACGAGAGAGTACGAAATACAATGCTATAACGTGGAGGTTTAACGAGTATGTATTGTGGGGTCCTAACCGGGCAGATATAATTTATTCTAGGACGAGGAGACGCGAGATCGCTCTGCGTACATCGTCTAAACAAGCTTAATCGTGTACTTAGCAGGTTTATAATTGTCATTTATCTCGTCCACGTTTATTCACTCTTCGGAAAGAAAGAATGAACTCAAACATGTTAAGTCAGTGTCCGCAATGCGGTTACGCGTCTGCTAGTCGCAGAATAGATGATAAGTTCTTGTTCTGCCACTGTATACCCTTAACTAAGAACATGCGCGATTTAAAGGCACCGTCCACCCAGATTTTCGACTTCCACGTTTTGTCGTTTCAGGGTCTTCTCATGTCCTTGATTCCGAATATGAAGTCGAGAATGCGCGAAAACCCCGACAGTCCCCGTTCCGGAGATCTACAGGCCAGCTTTTCTGAAAGGTGATTGGATGGGCGCGCACGGATGGGCGGGCATAGATGGGGAGGGCGGGCATGGATGGGGATCCTCGTGCATTTTCGCTATTCCGAAGCGATCTCGCTTCCGAAGCGGCATTTTGCGCTGCCTTTGGGCATTGGATTGATAGGGGGCCCTACTATTATATGCTGCCAAAAGCTCAACACCCTCAACTTAGGGTGAACGGTGCCTTTAACACCTCGGGCAGAGTTCAAGCAATTTCATCGTCACGATTCATCGCGACCAGACAACTGTAATAATAGCATTGCATGCCGATCTTCTTGCATTTCAGTTGTGATGGTTTCCCGACACGACTAGTCGTGATTAACTATCACAGCCGAAATACAAGAAGATCGGCAGGTTGAACTCGTAACAGTTGTCTTGTCGCGATGAGTCGCGACGATGAGACGATGAAATCGCGTGAACTCTGCCCGAGGCCTAAGCGTAATATAGGCCTATGCCAAAATGTGCAGGTCCCTGAGTTTGCGGCCGTCTCACGCAATACCCCGACGGAACTTCTCAGTTGTTATAGGATGCTGGCTTTGTTTTACTTGAATCGATTTCAAGAAGTGTGGAGGTGACCTCGTCTGCTCGAGCGTTATGATTCAGAAGTGAAAAGAGAATGGGGAGTTTTTTCTCCTATTGCCGACGTCTGACGGTGTTCACAATGGGAGCTGTATTTGGGATGCGATGCTCGGTAATAGATGACGGTTTTGACGACAATATCCAAGAACCATTTAGGCGACTTGTATGGACCTGTTGCGCGTGCAAATTTTCCTTCCCCTCCTGTTTGCGCGCAGGGTCCGACAGAGATCTACTGGAGGCAGGCTAGACTTCGTTTTCGGGAAAAGCAAAAACGGTGTCGTAAATCATGTGCAGGCTTATATGCAACCATTCAGACAAACAAACGCTCAAAAAGTTAGATTGACATAATGCATGTGTTATCTCGCAAAGCGCGCGCAATTTGAATGCAAGGCAAAAATAAACAGAAGGCTTGTTCAAGATGCAGAGATATGACACCAAATCTGAACCGCATATGTAGAAAATCATCTGTAGAGTATTATGTAAAAAGTTTCGAAACTTATGTGATGTAACACCTTGAACACATGTTCATATCGTTGCCACTCCACTCTCTAGCGATATCGGACTAAACGCGAAGGCCTCTGCAGATTGTGTTGCGATTGGCTGTTTTCTGTATTTGGAAATGGTAGTTGTAATAGAGTCATGCGATTCACACTTGAATCCTACAGGCGATTCACAGCGCAAACACTGCACACATATCTGCGTCTCTCCCGAGCGCTCTTTCGTTTCTCTTACCATCTGCTGTCTCTCCCAAGCGCGAACTATCTTGGTCAGATGCAACGGCGCTTAGTCTTTGCGTGTTATGAATGCGTATAGACGTTCAGCTAATCATCTTGTCTTATTTCGTTTTTGAACATTTTCTGTTCAAAAAACCTGGAGATTGTGTTGTATATCTAGCTTGTGAATAACTTGTCTTACTTGTACTCTTGTATATTTCTCAATGTTTGGAAGGCGTATGTTCTACATACAGGGGCTTCCAATCTGAGTGTCATGGTCACTGTTTCGCGGGTCCTCTTGAGCCGCCTCGCTTGGGCCACTCGCAGGTTCGCAGACGTGACTCGGGGCATTTTCACAAGCGCGTCATGCATTGATGCCTGAGGTCCCGAGCGAAGTTCACGCGATTTTATCGCCTCTCGATTCTCCCGAAAACAACAGTTATAGGGGCCTGCAGGATCGCGAGAGTCGGACGCGCGTACGGCCTTTGCGCCGCGCACGCCTGATATCGCTGGGTCGTAGTCGATTAAGGCTAGATAGGTAAGTTTTTTTTGTTTTTCTTTACATTTCACGCCTTCTTTTCCTTTCAGACGGTGAGCACATGTTGGTGCGGAGGAGTTTAAGATCTGAATTAAGGTGAGGTGCAGGATTATGCTCAATACGGACTCAATATTGCAGACCTTCCATGCCTGCTGGTTGAGATGTTGGATTTTCTGTCCTGGCTGCCCTGTTACAGCAAACTGTTCTATTTCTACCGTCTATTCTACCTTATCTTGCATATTGCTTGTGATGATGATGATGGTGATGACAATGATTATGATTGTGATGACGCGCATGATGCAAGATGAGGTAGAACAGACGTTGCAAATAAAACGGAGTTTCGTAACCGGGCAGGCAGGACGAAAAATCGAACATAATCGGACAGCCAGAACAGAAAACTCAACATTCTTCAAAGCAGGGGTGAAAAGTCCACAATATTGGCCCGTATTGAGCATAATCCTGCACCTCACCTTAATCTAGATCTTAAACTCCTCTGCACCAACATATGTTCGCCGCCTGAAAAGAAAAGAAGGCGAGAAATGAGAAGAAAAACAAAAAAATCTCACCTATCCAGCCTAAATCGAGTACGACGCAGTGGCATACGACGTGCGCGGCGCAATGGCCGTACGCACGTCCGACTCTCGCGATCCTGCAGGCCCCTATACATTATATTGCATGCCGATCATCTTGCATTGTGGCTGTGAGATTTTTCCAACATGTCTGTCGTCGACACTACCGTAACATGTTACCAGATGATTTTGTACTGATGTTTTGTGGGCTTCCGCGAGCCAGCTCGCATAACAGCGTTTTTGTCTTGTTTGCGATTTGCATACAACAAGGGAAGCTGCCAGCTGGCAGCTTTTCGAACACTTACAATTCTGGCTCCCTTTTGATACGCCAGTTGTGATTGAGTTGTAAACCGGGAAACCCGGCGTTTTCGTAGTGTCTGTTGAAAGTTGTGCCGGAGAGTCCGGTCTGGGAATAAAGCAGTTAAAAACGGTGTTTGACAAAAGTACGGTGTAAAATACAAATCCACTGAACCCCAGCACAGCGACTAATCGTGATTGACTATCACAACCGAAATGCAAGATGATGGTATGCAAAGGAACTTGTAACTGTTGCCTTGTTATGAGGATGGCGAGGCGAGGAAATCGCGTAAACTTTTCACGAATAATCGTGACTAACTGTCACAACCGAAATACAAGAAGATCGGTATGCAACGAACTCGTAACACTTGTAACTTGTCTTGTAGCGATGAATCGCGTGAATTCTGCCCGAGGCCTAAGGGCAAGGTGTTTCCCACCCCTCAAGCTTAATACTGTATCCGCCGAGAGCGAACGCGGCAAGAAAGCCCAAGCAAGGCGATCCGCGAGTACTTGAGCCTTGCCGACCGTGACACTGAGGATGAAAGCCCCTGTACCATTTGATTCAATTGGCTTGGAGGCAGGAAGGCGGGGCTTTGTGACCTAATTGAGGCCGATCGCTCCCGCGACGCAGTCTGCGTCTCGCCCGCGCGCATACTCTCTGATCATTAATACCTAGCCTCTTAGGTCACAAAGCCCCACCTTCCAGCCTCCAAGCCAGTTGAATCATTACTCTTCTTTGAGGCCAAACACTGTGTTTGAAAGTAATCTCATTCGTTCTACTACTGCAGTTTCAAAGTGATAATGAAGGTGAAACAAGACACTCCTGGTTGCATCACAAATAACAATCCTCAGGTAAGTTATCAGTCACACTGTAGTAATTGTTTTGAGGAAAGAAAGAACCCTATGTCACGCAAAGGATATCACATCGAGAGTTGTTGCCGATCGCGATCCAGATTACGGATGTGACTAACCGGCAAGAAAGCCGGCCTTTTATAGAAGAGAAGTTTGAGGTAAGTTTCAAGCTGATGATTGGCAGTCATCTGGCTCCTCCACTCGCTGACGCGGTAGCCAGTCATCCCCAATCAGTTCGCAGCCGGCCTATCTCGTCAGGCCGCCCTCACCACGCCGTGACGCACTGCGATCGATGTGTATGCTCTGTCTCTCGCTATTCTTTAACGGGTTAAGAACCTTTGGATTTTTCTAGCCTATTGATTTTCCGCTAGCTTAGCCCTGCTTGTGTCTGCTACTTCGACGAAACTCATATGTGGAATTTCCAAGCTTATGTCTGATTTATCTCTTATTTGAAGCATTTTTCACTGCGGCGCTCGAACTCGAATGCGCAGTATTCTTTTGAAAAAACCTCTTTGTGAGATCTCTCTGCAGCTAATGTTCTTCTACTAGTCCCCTCTTTATCTACGTTCTTATTATATCAAGCAATAGACAGAAGTTCTCTAAGTTTCCCATGTTCCATCTGCTCTTGTTCGTGGATAATATCAGTACTAATTATGGTCGAAACCAGCAATAATTCCATCGTCTTTAAGTTTTTTTCTAGTGTCTGATGTACCTTCTACTCTTGCTAATAACAATTCCAACAAAACACCCATGCATACATTACCACTAATGAGGATTTTTTGATTGTATTCAAAAACCTAACAAGATGATATAGAATTATACTAGTCTCAGTCAAGCGAGAATTTAGTAAAACATGGAGCACTTAAGATCCCCTGCCCAAAATTGTGCAGTCTAAGCAAAGCGTTTAGCTCTTAACTCATGCATTTCCACTCGCGCTTTCTTTTAGTCGTTTCATAGAAGCAGTGCGCGATATAAAGGTAGGGGTGACAATAACTGGTGCAGCCCCGTATTGCGCATCCCCTCCTTCCTAAGTCGGTTGCTGCTATTTGACTTATACCAATTCAGTCTTTGAAGTATATAAGTATTTGGTGGTACTTTGGTAATACTTCGATTGGTGCGCTGGATGACAGTTCCTTGCTTTTTCTTTTGAAGTACCTGGGATTTTTTCATCGTTTCATCTACAGAGCATAAAACAAGGATGCGTACGATTATCAACCAATGAACTAGTAGTACTTATCTACCTTTGTAGGTGTGAAGACTCCTCATCTTCGGCTTCTCAACCTTCTTAACCTATTGACGACGATGTGGGGCCCCCGGTGGCCACGCCCTTTTTGCCGCCAGGGACGATGTGGACCACCGGTGGCCCACACTCCTTGCAAAATCATACCTTTCCAAGTCTAGTATTTTTCCCATAGTTCAGTATTTTTTCCAATTTTTTGCGCTCTTGGAACCTGTAGACATCGTCCTCCAAGAACATGATTGTAGTTGTTTGCAAAACACTTTCATAATCATCACAAAGGTAGGTGCCAGAGTAAGCGAATTTTGTTCAGGTTGGGGTCCTGCTCAGAATTGGCGTCACTTGGATTGACGCCAGCATGGTGAGTGACGTCCATTCTGGGGACCCCAACCTAAACAAAATATTCGCTTACTCGGGTGTAGGCCGGAAGGCGACAAAACGCAGTTGGAGCGAGCGCATGGAGGCCACGCCCCCCATGAGCGCCTGTGACACCGAGGCGAGGTCAACCAGGTTAAGGACTGACGCTCTTTCGGCACACGCGCTGGCGCACTAATGGTAGCAGGATTCTTCAGAGTTCCTATTGATTTGCTTGTTGCCTAGAGTCAAACTACTGGTCAAATATGGGCTAAGCAGTGTACGGAGTAAATGTGTCACTTCAGACCTGTTTATCTCCTTGTTGATACTTGTCTATAAGTTTGTTAGTGCAACTTTTGGTTCCTTCAATTCAAGATTAGAAAGGTCAAGCATTACAGACCTATGAAACACGTTATTATAGCTTTGGGACAAATGAGAGAACACAATCGCAATTCACCATCCAAAAATGGGTTATAAGCAGATCAGTTTCCTCGAAAGCGCGTTCTTTTGATCTAGGAGTGCAGTTCTTCCGCGATCTTCATTCTTTTGATTCACCGAAGTCGATTTGTCACATTCAGATTCATAGATTATGCATCGTACTGAGCTCGTCATGAAGGGTAATCAGGGCATGACAAAGACCGACTGTGGTTTTGTTCAAACAGACAAGATAAATCAGAACGATCATACTGTTGCAAGTCAGCTCCGTTTCGGTGGAAGAAATACAAACTCTTTTTGCAGGAAATCCAAAACTGTCTAATTACTCAACCCATTTAGCAAACCCGCATTCTGTTCATAATCACTTCTATGACCTTTCTCGTGCTTTTCTGCGCTGTTCTGTCCTACAGTTTGAACGTAATCCTTTATTCTCAATGAAAAAAAGGCAGCGATGCTAACAATAAGAAAAAAAGAATGGTTATTGTCATTATCACATTACAGTGTATTGCAAGCGACAGCTGAAATAAAAAAAAAATGAAGTGCTCGAATAATCTCAAAATCGAGGTCCCACCGCAGAATGCGTCCTTGCTCGAAGTGCTCCAAATCTTCTTCTGTGTTCAGCTTGAAGAAAAGTCGTATTGTGAAGAAGATGCAAAAGAATAATGGCTCACCTTTACTTGATATGACTGGCTTACAGTACCGTTGTTGAGTGGAATTCTACTCACATTTTATTTGTCCATCATCAACTTGGACGAGGTCTGCACAAGAACTAATCAACATATAAAAATATGGTATACTCAAATAAACCCCTAACTTATGAAAAAATACAAAAGTAACACATCACTCAAGAACGCAGGTATCTACTAACCTTCTTAGTAGGATGATCTTCTATTGCACTATACATATTGCTGCAGCCTGAAACAAAAATTTCTACAAAAGGCAGTTTTGAAGAGCATATGCTAACAGATAGGCAAATACAAAAGAAAGCAAATCATTTACCACAGTAAACAATAATATACATACATGAAACAAAAACACGTTCGAAAACCACGTGAGAAGAAACGACGAAGCCAGAGATTGAGAGAGCCATGCGCAATATGTGTAAAGGCGCCCCAATCCAAATATCCAGAGCATCCTAACAACGGGAAACTCGGACAGGGCGTGGCCACTAGCTGCGCCTGTTCTAGGTCATTTGTCGCCTTCCGGACGTTCCCCCAAAATTAGGCGTCGTCGTCAATGGGTTAAATCATTTCAAAGCTTGCCATCACGTGATCCAGAACCCTCTCAGTGCGCAAGAAGCGATAGGTACGAGGACACTACTTTTTGCAGAGGAGCGGTTAGAGGAATCAATATCTCGATTACCGCCTCCTCGGACACTCATTTTCACCCAGAGCTGACAATGAGATCGAAGGCAGCGGCTCGCGAAAATGTCAACTTGTCAAATTTATGTTTAGATAGTTGTCCCACCAAGTATATCATAGCCCCTCCACCCCCTTTCTTAGCGCCGAATCAGAGAACATGCTTCAAAGTTCCAACAGCCACGCCATACACCAGAGGTTCTCGCTAGTGATGGTCTGCCGATGCTTTCGAATTCAGCCCGCATTTTTCATATGATGTGTTAACAGGACAAAAATTCTCGAACGCATGTTACATGTCAGCTTTAGAGACACGTCTTTGACGAGAGTCTCTTACATATGTAAAGTCACTGCTGGACAAACGCGCAGACGCGATCACGGTGAGCGGCGCAAACGCAGCGCGCACGTTGCCGAATTTGTTGAGGGTGTGCCTCAGGTAGGCGCGAGACTAAGCGACTATTTTGTTCAGCTGCAAAAGGCGCACAGATTTAATGTCTGCTGCTGCTAAGGCCGGGGGCACGCGGAAGGCGACAATGCGCGCAAAAAGCAAGCAGTATAAGGGATCGTTTAGACCGCGCACAAAGGCGCAGGCGCCGGAACTGCCAAAGCGCAGGGATTTGCGGCAAAGTGCCATATTGGAATACGCGTGAAATACAGCGCGCGTTGTGCTTTGAGCTACTTGTGACTTAACCCATTGACGTGGGTCACTGGTGGCCCACACCCCTTACAAGTTCATATCACTTCCAGGTCTAGTGTTTTTTCCACAGTTCAATATTTTTTCCAATTTTTTGCACCCTTGGAACCTGTAGACTTCGCCATCTAAGGGCCGCATGCACTAACATCCCTGCGGCGAGGGGAGCGACGTCCCCAATGATGAAAAAGCCGCAGCGGCGTCCGCACGCGGTCCCTTCATAACGGGGGACGCCGCTCCCCTCGCCGCAGAAATGTTAGTGCATACGGGCCTAAGAAGATGATTGTGGCTGCTTATAAGCCAGGTTTACGTCCGTAAATAATTACAAAACTTCCCCACGTCGAAAATGTTGTGCAAAATCGCGTCGTCGTCAATGGGTTAAACAGCGTTTTAAGAGGCACAAAATTTGGGGATTTGAGACCTGCTTCAGCTGCAGGTCCCGTGCAGATTTGACGTTAATTCTGCGCGCCTTTTGCAGCTGAACAAAATAGTCGCTTAGACTGCATCCATACTGATCCCGAAGTCCGGGAACAGTCTCAGCACAGCGCTCATTTCAAGCGCTGTGCTAGAACTGTTCCCGGACTTCGGGATCAGTATGAGCGCAGCCTTAGGCCCGTATGCACGTACATCCCCGCTGGGGAGGGGAGAGGATCTGAGAGGGGATGCGTCATATCTCACTACTCCACGTATCTTTCTTCTCCTTTCTCTATCTTGCTTATTAAGTTTTTCATACACTTTTACCTGCGCATAATTTATGCCAGGTTACTGTTATGCAACATCGGCTTTTTGCCATTTTGTGTGATCCCCAGGGGATCCCTAGGGGATCACCTCTCATTTTCACAGTGATTTATTTTATCTGAGAAGTCAATGAAAACGCTGCAGAATTATATTGAGGATATACGACACTGCTAAACATGTTTTCGACAGGAGAAATGGAAACTGAAGATAGTGAATTTTTCGATGATCCCTGGCTCGCGAGTAGGGATTACCGAAGATTTCGATATCTTGAGATTTTTTATTTCTACTATAAACATCTTTAGCAGTGCCGTAGTATATCCAACGTACAATTTTACAGCGTTTTCATTGAGTTTTCGGAAGATAAACGGCATTGAAATTGAGAGGTGATTCATTGGAGATCCCCAGGGGATCACACAAAATAGTGAAGATCTAATCAATTGATGCCAGTAACTGGCATATGCGCAGGTATTAGGGTATGAGAACCTTCGTAAGCAAGATAGAGAAGGAAGAAAAAAGATACTCAGAGTAGCGAGATATGACGCATCCCCTTTCAGATCCCCTCCCCTCCCCAGCGGGGATTGTACTGCATACGGGCCTTAGTCTGGCGCGTACCTCACGCGCCCTTCGGCTAATACAGGAGATTTTCCGCTTAATATAGTGTGCTGGCATTGAAGGTGAAATGCATTAAAATTGCGCGTAAGGAAATATCATCTATTCTACGACTAGGAGACGCGTGGCCGCATTGCGGACATTGTCTTAACATGTTTGAGTTTGTTCTTTCTTTCCAAAGAGTGAACAAACGTGGACGAGATAAATGACAAGTATAAACCTGCTAAGTACACGATTAAGCTTGTTTAGACGATGTGTGCAAAGCGGTCTCGCGTCTCCTAGTCCTGGAATGAATGATAGCTGCGCCTGTGACGCCGGCCATTTGCGCGTGTAACATGTTGGTGTTACTGGCACTTACTACTTGTTCGCGCGCAAATTTTACCGCATTTAACCTTCAGTGCAAGCACACTAGTATATCAAGCGGGAATCTACTCGACTGTAGAACCCCGTTCGCGTCTCTAGGTTTGCGCCTTCCTCCGGCTTTACCTTGTGTATAATCTCTATCTTATATATAAAGCTGAATGTCTGTTTGTCTGTCTGTCTGTCTGTCTGTCTGTATGTATGTCTGTCTGTACGTATGTTCCGAATAGAAAATTCCATTTCTGAACCGATCCGGACCAAACTTGGCACACATACACTTCGGGCCCCGGCGCGTGTCATAGGCTACTTTTCGTCATCGATCGATATCGATTTTATCGATTTTTATCGATTTTTTTGCTGAGTTCACCTACGGGGCTGGGAGTTTGCACAGGGGGGTAATCGAGCATGGGGATTCCGAATACAATATTGGTTTTCAGGATTATCGATTACTTTTATCGATTTTATCGATTTTTTTGCAAAGTTTGAGCTACGGGGCTGGGAGTTGGCACAGGGGGGTAATCGAGCATGGGGATTCCGAATACAATATTGGTTTTCGGGATTATCGATTACTTTTATCGATTTTATCGATTTTTTGCAAAGTTTGAGCTAGGGGGCTGGGAGTTGGCACAGGGGGGTAATCGAGCATGCTGATCATCCCCAAGGGGGTGATCAGCATGCTCGATTACACCCCTGTGCCAAATTCCAGCCCCCTAGCTCAAATTTTGCAAAATCGATAAAATCGATAGAAGTAACGGATAATTCCAAAAACTAATATTGTAATCGTAATCTGCATGCTCGATTACCCCCCTGTGCAAACTCCCAGCCCCGCAGGTCAAACTTTACAAAAAAATTGATAAAATCGATAAAAGTAATGGACGATCCTGAAAACTAATATTGTGTTCGTAATCAGCATGCTCGATTACCCCCCTGTGCAAAATCCCAGCCTCGCATGTCAAAATTTACAAAAAATCGATAAAATCAATAAAAGTAACCAATATTTCTAAATCCCCATGCTCACTTCCCCCCTGTGCCAACTCCTAGCCCTGTAGGTGAACTCTGCGAAAAAATCGATAAAAATCGGTAAGATCGACATCGATCGATAACGAAAAGTGGACTGTGACACGCGCCGGGGCCCGAAGTGTATGTGTGCCAAGTTTGGTCCGGATACGGCGGAGCCGGGTAAGCCAGCTAGTTTGCAATATAGCCCTAACTATATTAAACAGGATGTCCCAAAAAATGTACTCACTGTTTTGTTGTTAATAACTCTTTTGTAATGAAGTCCTTCCAGAAGCTTTAGGTACCATTTTGTAGAGCTGGCTTCAACTTAGATTTGCAGTATAGAACGAATCACTCATCTCTCTTCATTACTGTAGGATTACGGTGAAAACTTCAAAGAGGGTTTTGGGCCGTGAAAAGCCATATTTTCCCTCAAAAAAAAAAAAAGAAAACAGCCTGAAAACTTTTACACTAGGCCATTTAGAGTTGCTGATTCTAATTGTGAAGTTCATATCTCACTATGATGCTTCATTGAAAAGTTAGGCGAGGTAAGCAGTAGCGGCCATTTTTTCAATGTTCCTAAAAAGGGCGGTTACACGTTTAGAAAGCTTCGCAATCTTGTGAATAGTTGAGTAATTGGACTCAGCGTCCTTAGAAACCCTATAACACAAGTTTTCACACTTTTTTTAATGATTTTGAAACGGCAGCTTTTTCCACAGTGACACCATATGTTTCAAGTTTCTACCGTAATCCTACAGTAATGAAGGGCGGTCGGTAATCTGCTCTATGCTGTAAATCTAAGTTGAAGCCAGCTCTACAAAATGGTACCTAAAGCTTCTCGATGGATTTCATTACAAGAGAGTTATTAACAATCAAACATTGAGTACATTTTTTGGGACACCCTGTATATAGGCGAGTCATCACACGCCTATATACACGAACTATTTGGACGCTGCTGCGTCCAAATAGTTCGTGTATAGAAGACAATAAACAGCTTAAGCGATGAAAGAGCGCTCTAACAGCAAGACACCGACACCGTCCGTAGTGACACCCTCCGTATCTGCGTGCGGTGTATCGCTTATATCGCAACGGGTGCCACGTTCAGGCGTTCACATAATGCTGAAATTGCGATTTTGGTGGTCGTTTTAGCCTAGCTTTCTTTGCATATCAACAATTATATTTTAGATGAATGCCGCGAACCCGTGGGAAGTGTCAATCGTGGAACATCAAGCAAACTGTGCTCAGTTCGCGTCGCTCTACCCTCAGAATGGCCAGATTGATGGAAACACCGCTAGAAATGTATTGATGAAAAGTAATCTACCGCCACAGTTGTTAGCGCAGGTTTGTTGTATCATTATTTATGGTTATTCCAAATGTCTTTACCTATATTAAGCTTGTTGGTGTTAGCGGGATTTTCGAGTGTTCCTCATATAAGTAACACATTATTATTTATATTTTTTATTGTTTACTCTTTACTATATTGTAACTATATCATTCTACGGCTTTGATACCAGTGACAGTCATCACCAGGGTCAAGCAAGGGGTGTGGCACACGATCGCTGGTTACGACCCCCCCCCCCCCCCCCGATTGCTGTCTTAATAAGACCCCCCCCTGAACTATACACTTAAGATAGCATTACTTGAAGGCCCTGTCAAACATAATAAGCAACATATCCATAACCAGTGCGTCACCTCTGCTTCGCAGAAGCTCGCACTGACCCTATGCTCTGTATGCCTTGCTCATTCTCGCATAATAATGACATTGAAACTCACCGCGCTATGTAGGCTATCACGAATAATTCGTAAACAACTACTCATTCGTAGAGGTCTTCCATGTGAGATCGGTAATTTCGCTTGGAGATGACTTTCCCCAAGAGAACAAATGCAAATTTGAATCGGTTCTTGGACTTTTCGTGGCTTGGTACTGTACTCGCCTTAAGGACAACAATAGCTGTGGACAACATCTCTGTGCAAAAATCGTCGCAAATGATTAAGTAAAATCTTGGCAAAATGGACATATACACAGCCAATTCTTTTTGACGCTATTCTTGTAGAGTAATAGACTTTTGATCACTTTTTTAGGCTAAAAATCGTGGCTTGCACATTAATTTCTCAAACATATCCATGACTTCGCAAAAAGTGGTGCCACAGACCCAATTTTGCTGGCCAAAAGCCAAGTGGGTCCATTTGACGCGCAGTTTTTGAGGGATCCACTCAATGGATTCGCTCGCGCTTTTGCATATTGGACTTCTATGCTGCTAACATGCGCTGTGCAAAATTTGGGATCAGGATGTTGGCTGGTACTCGCTCCATGAATTTCGTGACAGACAGAGATTCACACACACACACACACACACACACACACACACACACACACACACACACACACACACACACACACACACACACACACACACACACACACACACACACACACACACACACACACACACACACACACACACACACACACACACACACACACACACACACACACACACACACACACACACACACACACACACACACACACACACACACACACACACACACACACACACACACACACACACACACACACACACACACACACACACACACACACACACACACACACACACACACACACACACACACACACACACACACACACACACACACACACACACACACACACACACACACACACACACACACACACACACACACACACACACACACACACACACACACACACACACACACACACACACACACACACACACACACACACACACACACACACACACACACACACACACACACACACACACACACACACACACACACACACACACACACACACACACACACACACACACACACACACACACACACACACACACACACACACACACACACACACACACACACACACACACACACACACACACACACACACACACACACACACACACACACACACACACACACACACACACACACACACACACACACACACACACACACACACACACACACACACACACACACACACACACACACACACACACACACACACACACACACACACACACACACACACACACACACACACACACACACACACACACACACACACACACACACACACACACACACACACACACACACACACACACACACACACACACACACACACACACACACACACACACACACACACACACACACACACACACACACACACACACACACACACACACACACACACACACACACACACACACACACACACACACACACACACACACACACACACACACACACACACACACACACACACACACACACACACACACACACACACACACACACACACACACACACACACACACACACACACACACACACACACACACACACACACACACACACACACACACACACACACACACACACACACACACACACACACACACACGTAAACAACCCTTAGCCCGTTATTATAAGTTATGATCAGCATGTCAATCAACCCCTGTAGACAAAGTTTGAGCGAATTTTGAAGGTTCAAGATACTAGGCTACCCAAGTGAAATGGTCATATTCCAACATGGTTAACTTTGTTTCACAGGTGAAGTAGCTAGCCGTTTTTGCACTTAAGACAGAGCACTACTCCTTCTTTGTCCATCTCGGAAATCCCGCTTCAAAAGACCTCCAAACTGTGGAATTAGAAGCCAACTAAAATCTCGTTTTTCCCATTTTTTGCTTTTGATCGCTGTGTTTTTCACCAAATATTACTCAGATCTAAGAAGACGAATCAGGCTCCAAACAGTCCGCATCTACAAGGTTGAAACTATCGATTCATATAAATACTGTCTAAAAATGTTTTTTTTTGATATAGTTAATGGGGTGCGGCACACCCCCTCACCCACTATATCAAAAAAAAAACATTTTTAGCGGACAATATTTATATGAATCGATAGTCTAGATCTCCTGGTTTTCACAAGAGTGATTTGAGCCTGATTCGTTTTCTTTGCTCTGAGTAATAGTTGCTGAAAGCACAGCCATTAAAAGCGGAAAATGGGAAAAATGAGATCTTGGTTGGCTTCTAATTCCACAATTTGGAGGTCTTTTGAAGCGGGATTTCTGAGATGGACAAAAAAGGAGTAGTGCTTTGTCTTGAGTGCAAAAACGGATAGCTAGTTCACCTTTGAAACAAAGTTAACGATGTTGGAATGTGACCATCTCACTTAGGTAGCCTAGTATCTTGAATCTTAAGAATTCGCTCAAACTTTGTCTACAGGGGTTAATTGACATGCTAATTATGGATAGGATACGAATATCATGTTATCACTATTATCAGATTACCCAACTACGACCCCCTCCCCTTTTGACTCCTCAATACGACCCCCCAGGTGTGGCGTGCCGCACCCCACGCTTGATCCTGGTCATCACACATGACATTTAAAGGCAGCGTCCAGGCAAGTTTGGACACAAGGGGATCTCACGTGGATAATGGGGCCCCAACTAAGCCAGGCCCAATCGGCAGCTCAGGTAGTGCTCTAACGGCTGAGATATTTCCCTCGAAACTGGCCCCGAGATCGTATTTCGTATGTCATGGCGCAAAGTGTGGGTCCTCACGCGAAACTGCCATGAATCCATGCGGACGCGATCCTGCGGTCCACTTCGGAGGCGCATACCTCAACCATTAGTGATTCACCTGCGCTGCCGCTTGGGCAGTGCCTTAGCTAGGGCCCCAAAGTTACTTTCCACGAAAAATCCCCATAGGTCCAGATCTGCCTGGACGCTGCCTTTAACAAGCTAAATTTGTTCTTCCTTGTCAAGTTACAAATTTTCAAAAAAATGTATGACAACTCTACTAGCTATTTGTGTGCAAAGTGTGCTCCTAGCTTCAGAATAGGCGGTAAAAGCTGACCAAAAAATCTCCTAACGCCACTGATATTTGCAAGCTAGCCTCTAAAGGTTTTCTCAACGACCTAGAATAGTCTAATGTCACATCACATTCGCTGCCATTTATGACCGCATTCAAACTGATGCGCTTCAGACAGTTAGGTGAGTAGGGTGATATGCCACCTACAATGTTATATACGGGCTTCTCGATACTCTGGATGAATTTGGTAAGAACTAGGATGACGTCTGTTACAGCAGCTTAGGACCCTGCAACGTTTTGTGTGCAAAGGCTTAATCGACTAGAGTCTCAATTGATGGCGCCCTGTTACTAAAAATGGATCTCTGGTAGTTATTCGATGGCACATTTTCACATTAAAGGCAGCGTCCAGGCAGATCTGGACCTATGGAGATTTTACGTGGAAAGTATTTTTGGGGCCCTAATTAAGGCACTGCCCAAGCGGCAGCGCATGTAGTGCTGAGATATTCCCATCGAAACTGGACCCCGCGATCGTATTCGTGTAAATTCATGGCAGTTTCGCGCCAGGATCCACGCTTTGCGCCATGAATCCATGCGAAATACGATCGCGGGGTTCAGTTTCGAGGGGAATATCGGCCGTTAGAGCACTAACTGAGCTGCCGGTTGGGCAGTGGCTTAGTTAGGGTTCCAAAATTACTATCCGCGTGAGATCCCCATGTGTTCAGACTTGCCTGGACGGTGCCTTTAAGGGCCGCATGCACTAACATCCCCGCGGGGAAGGGATCGCAGATTAAAAGAAAGCTTCATATCCTAAAGCTCCAGATATCTGGATTTCACGTTGTGTACGTAACCGTAAGTATTCCTACTATCCTCCACTATGAACACGCTGAACAGCAGCGAGAAGCTGTACAAGCCGCATTTCCCTGCTTTTGTATGATCCCTGATGATTCCCGGCTCTTTTCTTTGAAGTCATTTTTCTTTCTCCAAAATTAAAAAAAAAGTTTCCAAAGTTGTGCAGATTATCTAATCCAACACTGCTTAGCATGTTGCTGATAAGAACAAGTGATATATCGGAGTCATGAAATTTGCGATGAAGCACAAGTCGAAAGTTGTGATCTATCGAAAAAATCGATTTTTTAAAAACTCATTTGTTCTCATCGGTAACATGCTTAGCACTGTTGTGTTAAATGATTAGTACAACTTTGGAAGGTTTTCGTTGACTCCGAAGAAAGAAAAATGACTTTGAAGAAAAGCGCCGGGGATCGCCAGGGATCATAGAAAAGCTGGAAAATGCGGCTTGTACAGCTTTTCGCTCCTGTTCAATATGTTCATAGTGAAGGATAGTAGGAATACTTGCGGACAGGTAGACAGCGTGAAATTTAGATATCTGGAGCTTCAGAATGTGGAGCTTTCTTCTGAGCTGCGATTAACCTCCTCAGCGGCGTTGTTAGTGCATGCGGCCCTAACAAGGGAAGTACACTTAGGCCCGTATGCACGTACATCCCCGCGGGGAGGGGATGTGAGTTTAACCATTGCAATGGTCCCCGCTGGGGCTCCCCTCCCTTCCCCACGCGAATCCCCGTATGCAGAAAGGCAGTACCGGAGAGGGGATCCCCTGGGAGTAGGGGAGGGGAGCCCCCTTATGCAGTATGGGAGATCGAGCGGGGAACTCATTTTGCTTCCGCTTTTTTGCAGTAATTATTCCTTTTTCTTATCTTTTGATAGCTACTCGCCTTCAGTGTGTATCGGCGATATTTAGTCGTTGCGAAATGCCGTCTGCCGTGTTTGGGATCGACACACTAAAGAAATATCTCCTACATCCATTATATTCCAGCTGTTTTCATGGATGCTGCTCATTTTCGCCCATGCTGCCCATTTCAGCTTAGGTGTTCAATGATAGAAGTCAAGGTGTATGTACAGGGTGTCCCAAAAGTAAGTACACACTTTTCAATCGTCGATATCTCTTTTCCTAACGGATCTTTTTCTGCCAGTCAAGTACCATTCTCTAGAAGAGGCTTCAACTTAGATTTACAAAATCAATCGAATCACCGATTACTCTTCGTTACTGTAGGATTACGGTAAGAACTTCCAGCAGGCGGATCCATTGTGAAATATGCCATCTAACAAAATTTTTTCAAAAAAAACTGAAAAATCGTGTACTAAGGTTTTCGTGCACGCTGATTCCACTAAACAACGTTTTACGCGTGTTTTCAGTGTTTTTGACTGCGTAATCACATTTCTGACAAATCCTGGGAATTCGGTTATTATGGTTTACCTGGGATTAATTTGGAAAGAAGCATCACAGTGAGGTGGAAATTTCGTATTCGAAATCAGCGGTTCCCATTACCATAGTATACGGGTTTTTGGCTTGTTTGTTTGTGTTCCGAGGCAGAATATGGCTTCCAATGGCTTAGAATCCTTGTCGAAGTTCCTACACTAATCCTAAAGTAACGAACAGTGATCGGTAATTCCCTCGTTAGCGTAAATCTAAGCTGAAGCCTCCTCTACAGATTGCTACTTAAACGGCGGAAAAAGACATCATGGGAAGAGAGATATTAACGATTGAAAAGTGTGTACTTACTTTTGGGACACCTTGTATATGCAGTGAATGGGTAGAAGACGTTATGCTGCCGAAAAAAGGGGGGGGGGGTGCCGCGGACATCAAAACCAGCATTTCTACACATAATTGAAGCTGCAAATCGTGTCAGCTCTCCATAAACGCTGTAGCTATCAGTTGCATGTCGTCCTTTACCCCAGGGGAATGCTCCCCAGCGGCCATCCCTGCTATGCACGAGGGGAGCGATGGGGAGGGGATCATTCCCCCGAGGATCTTTACTCAGAAACACGCGTGTCTGCTAATTTTCATTTTATTCAAAGCAGTTTTACGTTAGGATAACAAGATAAGAACAATTTATCATATAATGTGATAGTTACAATATGTTGTACCAGCCTTAATGGATAAAACTATCATGTCAAATAAAAAAAGCGCAACTCTTTGAATGGTCACAACCTTCTAAAGATATTCGAAACTGGCACGAAACTGGCAAATATGTCCGGATTTCTTTACAAGAAGCGAATATGGAAGAGAGAGTTAAACTGCAAGCTACAGGTCGCTGAGAGAGGAACCCGGCTCCTGTAGAAAATCTTTCATCAATTTGAACGAAATGCTTTGTAATAATTGATTGAAATCAGAATACTCGCTTCTCTGGCTTGACCTACACCATCGAACCCCTACTCCGTTGTAAGGGATGTCGATCCCCTCCCCCGCGTTATTGAGTTAAATTCGCGCATACGGGGTTTGAGTGGGGGAAGGGAAGGGATCCCCTCCCCCATTCGAACCCCGTATGCACTGGGGTTCGCTCGATCAATACCTCTGAAACCATTCTACCATCCCCGCTTAGGTGCCGGGGAGGGAATCGCTCCCCTCCCCTCTGTCATGGCGGGGTTCGGCGGAGGGGATCGTTCCCCTGGGGATCCAGCTCCCCTCCCCTCCCCAGCGGGGACGTACGTGCATACGGGCCTTAGTCGACGTGGCGATTCGGAAGGAGATCTATACCAGTGAATAGAGCTTAAAAAGCTGATTTCAGATACACTCTATATCTGCGATGCGTTGTTCTGAAAAAAGTTATGAGCTTTTCTAAAGTCAAATTTTCGTGCATTTTGAGTCCTAAAATCAAGATAATCACTACACGAAAGTGTGCAAGCTTAAGCCAACCACCTAGGAAGCATTGTATGTCTAATTCGAGTTCATCCGAACGTTTTCGAGTGTTTTCCGAACATGTTGTTTATCTACAGGCCGTCATTTCCCTCCTAGATCACACTTCCATTATATATACAAAAAACATAACCCCTCAGTCTAAAAGAACGCGCTGCAGATATTGAAGATATATTTACATCGTTTTACGTTCTATCTATTGGTAGTTTCCAAAAAGTTTCTGACGCGACGCTTTTTTCTAGATGGAGGTTATGGGACTTTTTTGTATACATAATCAAAGTGTGATCTAGGAAGGAAATGACGACCTGTGAATAAACAACATGACCGGAAAGCACTTAGAAACGTTTGGATGAACTCGAATTAGAATTACAATGCTTACTAGGTGGTTTGCTCAAGCTTGCACACTTTTGTGTAACGATTACATGATTTTGGGACTCAAAATGCACGAAAATTTGACTTTAGAAAAGCTCATAACTTTTTTCAGAACAACGCATCGCAGATATAGAAGGTATATCTGAGATCAGTTTTTCAAGCTCTATCCACTGGTATAGATCTCCTTCCGAATCGCCACTTCGACTAAGTGAACTTCCCTTGTAAGAGTCAACATTTCAATAGCTGGCTACCAATTTGATAATGGGAAAAAAACGATATTCGTTTCTATTCGGCTGAGACCTGTATATTGCCAAATAATGTTAACAATAAGATACAAACCTCTCGAAGTATTGCTCTTTAGTCTTCAGGGCATATTTCAAGGCGAGTGATGGGTATGTGTACAAACATACACTTGTAATCAACATGCTCATTTACCCCCCACCCCATCCCAACTCCAGGCCACGTAGCTCAAAATTTGCAAAAAATCGATAGATGTAATCGTCAGTTCTGAGAGTTATCATGTTCGTAATCAGCGTGCTCACTTAGCTCCCCCCCCCCTTGTGTCAACTTCTAACCCTGTACCTCAATATTTGCGAAGAATCGATGAAGTCGATGTCGATTGATAACGAAAAGTAGTCTACGACATACGCCCGCTTCAAAGTTTATATATGCAAAGCTTGTTCCGGATCGGTTTAGAATATCGGAACGTACTTGCAAACACACCGACAGACAGACAAACGGACTTGCTTTATATATTAGGTTGGCACAGAAGTTTTGCAACTTTTCCCATAACTTTTTTCTTACTCATTATAGCACTCTCATTCCCTGGCATCGTGTAGAGTGTGACATAAGCTGCAGGATTGCGCAAACCGTTTGATTTATGATAACGTAGTAGAAAAAATTTAAGCATTTTTCGAAAACCCTTGAAAATCGAGGTCTCACGCTTTTTTGGCAAACATAAAGCCGTAGAAAACATATCAAAAAGGAATTATAGGCAACATGTAGCTGGAAGTTGACACAAGATTCAGTAAAAAAGAAGTGAGATTTAAAGACAAATCAAGATAAGGCGCCTTTAAGAAGTAGAACAAGTCAAATGCGTCGAGTTTGGAGGGCAACCTGTCAATAACTAGGCTGCGAAATCTCAAAATTCGCTAAAGCTTTGCACAATGGGGTAATCCAACTCAGTGAACACGAATATCATGTTCATTTGCCGCTAAGGTAAAATTCATTTCTGACCTTACGCAAGAGGCCTTCTCATGCGAAACGGACCTTATTTTTGTGATCAGCATGTAGAATAACCCCCATAAGCTAAGTTTCAGCAAGATCTGACGCAATCTAAATTTTTCCCGTTGTACCGTAAACCTACCGTAACCCTTAAATAAGATGAGAAAATATGGCAAAAAATGCCTGCATTTGCAGTTTACTTCATAATCCTTATATTCCCAGAAAATGAATGCGCTACGTGAAAAAACAAAAGTTATATAAAAGTTGCATTAATTATGTGCCAACCTTATACAGCTATTTCCTGCTCCTTGCTGCAGACTTTGATGTGGAAAAACTCAGCGTCCTGCATTTTTTTTATAGATTTGGGCTCTATCAGATACGAATCATGATGGTATGCTGGACGCACGCGAATTCTCCATAGCTATGCGTCTTACACGGAACTGCATTGCTGGACTTCCACTTCCACCTGCCCTACCTCCATCACTGATGCAAGTGCCTGCTGGCAGTGGACCACCCCAAGTGTTGTCACATATGAATGCGATGGCTCAGCCGAATGCTATGTATACTCCAGGTTGGGCCTGAACTTTGCAGCTGTTTAGAAAAGATGGTACGTACACTTATTTGCTCTTTCTAGAAACACCTACAATTCCATACGGCACATCACCTATGCAACCAGTGATGCCAAATTTTCCTGTCTACCATACTGCACCGGCAGGAATGATGGCAAGGAGGCCTTCACAACCTCAGAATGGTGGTAGCACTCCGATTCCTACACAGGGAAAGCAATGTGGAAACTGGACTATCCCGCATCAGAATAAATTGAAGTATAGCCAGCAGTTCAACCAACATGACAAAGTCAGTCTGCTTGACCTTTTTGCGATTTACACATTTAATTTCTTTCTTGTACTCAGATAACCGCCGGGGGCAGGCGGCCATGCGAATTTTGAGCAAGCGCGCACCGGAAAAATAGTTCGTTGATTTTTTGCCGCCCGCTTGCAGAAATTTGGAAGAAAGTTGGCGAAATTAAAGACGAATGTTTGAAGAACAATCGCGGTTTCTTTATGGATTAGCTGCGGCGCAGTGGCCGCATTCTCGCGGACTTTCCGCGAGAATATGCAAAAATTTCGGGGGCCGCACGGTCTTTTGTGGAGGACCGCGCAACCCTCAGGTACTTTCCGCTAGGAGAAAGTACCTCAAACTTGAGTAATTAAACCAACGGTGACACCTCTGCCACACAGAGTCTTACCTGCGCTCGACGTACGCCCGAAAATGCCTAAAAAGAGTCCGAGCGCTTGCTGAAAGTTTGGCCAGCGCTCGCTGAAAGAAATTATTTGCCGAGCGCTTGCAAAAAATGCTGTATTGCTGCCCGCTGGCAGAATATGCGACCGTAAAGGAAGTGCCGCCCGCTGAAGGTTTAACCACGCCCCAAAATTCTGCTGACCGCCTGCAGAAAAGCGCGAGTTTGCGGACCGCCTGCCCCCGGCGATTATCTGAGTATCTGTTGTAGAACCCTGTCATAGTAATTTTTGATCCATACGGTTTGATACAGGTTGATTCACAACTTCACCTAGAGTAGCACTCAGTCATGGTTTCTCGGTTGCCGAGTCGCTAAATTTGTCGGTCCACTACCCTTTGAAGCACTTCTTCAGCCTCTTAGACCTTCAGCATCGTTGTGTATAATCGTTTTCAATATTGGGTAAAATTACGTAATCGGGGAAAATAAAATTTGGCAAGACCGTTGGCGGGGTATGCCCTCTCACTCCTTCATATGTCCAAACATAAGCGCTTGTGCACGGGAGCACGAGTAATTGGTGTCGACCAAGTTATCCTCAAGACTGTTTCAATCCCCCTCTGTTCGAACCGCTCCTGCAAAACCCTGATACGTTCCAAACCACACTTTTTTTTTATTTTGATTTACACTCAGGGTGCACCAAAAAAAGGAAGCAAGGAATAAGAAACACAACCAAGCAAACCAAGAACTGAAGTACGAACTAGGAAACAGATCAAAGTTAAACATCTGTAGAGTCCCCCCACTTACAAAATTATGACCATCCTCCCTTTTAGGAGTGTCAGCGAGCCCCCGGTGCCAAGCTAGCTGACATGGCCCCAACAGAAAAATTTAGGTTTCATTTTGGAGGTGGGCAGGATCCAGTAGGATGCAAGAAGTAATGAGAAACTTGGTTACACGGAAGTTGTAAACACAGAACAGATAACAGAAAATCTTCCGCAGCGGTCACTGTAGAAACGGTGCCGGCGCAGTACATAAAACAACCGAAGTAACACATAGAACTAGAAGAATCTGAAAAAGAAATGATTGTCGAAATAAAATGAGACTTTTGCGGATTAAAAGCCATTTAAAGATCTTAGACCCCACCCCTGTCATAGCTTATAGAGGGAGCTTATATAACTAGCTCAATAAGCTCAACTGCTCAGCGTTAGATGTATCAACGTATCTGCCCCTCCCCCTCTCCCCCTCTCCCTTCCCCGAGGATGGGCCGCCAAATCATGAAAAGTTATTAGGTTGAACCGAAAGTTCGTTCGCACCATTTTCAAGAAATCTTAACTTCTTTCCTTCAAAACGATTTTGCTCGATTTAAAGTCTATCGGAAAGCGTAAAGCATGTTGTTTCTAAAAGTTTCCTGGGGACTTTCCAACATGCTCAGGTTGCAGAGATAAAATAAAAGAACGAGATCATCCGAAATTTGGAATTTTTAAGCAAAAATTCTAAAAATCTAAAAACTGCGATAAAATCCATAACAGCTATCAGCCTAAATTTTCTCATATTTTATCACCAACTGAGTCAAGTTTGTGCTGATCGAGCTCTTCTTCCAACATTTATGATTTTTTGAAGAAAAATGCCGAAAAATCAGTTTGTTAAGAATTTTCTTGAGAAATTGATTTTTCGGCATTTAAAAAAACATAACATTTGTAAAAAGAGCTCGATCAGTACAAACTTTTTTCATTTAGTAATAAAATATAAGAGAACTTAGGTTGATAGCTATTCTGGGTTTTATCACACAGTTTCTAAATTTTTAGAATTTTTGCTTAAAAATTCCGAATTTTGGTTGATCTCGTTCTTTCATTTTTATCTCTGCAACCTGAGCAAGTTGGAAAGTTCCAGGAAACTTTTGCAAACTGCGTGCGTTACGCTTTCCGACAAAATTTGAATTGCGCAAAATCGTTGTGAAGGAAAGAAGTTATGATTTTTTGAAAATGGTGCGAACGAACTTTCGGTTCAACATAATATATGAGGTCATTCCGAAAGTAATTTCGCTTTTTTCAAGCGGGCGCCACATCTGATGGAACAAAGTTTTCTAAGAGATCTTGGAAGCATTCAATGCAGCATTTCATTCTCTTTCTAATAGTTATGAAAGTGTTGCAAAACTGTCAATGAGCTTTCAGAAAATGACCAAAATCTGCAACCCATGCTTTTTGAGATAGTCAAGTTTCACGATTTTTTAAACCGTTCATGTCAGTCCTCAGAAGGAGTTCAAGTAACGATTTGATGGAGTAAACCTTATAGAAAACAGTGCTACTTTTTTCTCTTTCTCATAGCTCGCCGTAATTTTTTAAAAGATTTTTTAACAGAACCATCGAGTTTTGGCAGGCCCACCTCAACCACAATCGCATCAAACATCATAATTTTTCGGAATTTGAGACTACCAAGATGGTACTATGAGTTAGCATTAATTTTACAAAGCAAGTGAGGGTTTACGGGTTTGAAATATCAAATTTCGAGTTTTTCGGGTACGGCCTGGGGCTCCCTAAAAAAATGAGTTATAATGGTTTTATCCCCGGAAACTAAACGAATCGGAAACAAAAAAACACCCATTAGAAAGATTAGAAAAAGCGCATCCAATGACACCCGAGCTGCTAAGGTTTGATGTTCTACTAGATTTAGCTGCTCAAGTATGGAAATCAGTAGCATCAGTTAAAATTCTGTTAAAAATGTATGACAAGCTATGGAAAAGAGAAAAAAGTAGCACTGTATTCTATGAGGTTTGTTCTATCGAATCGTCACTTGAACTTCTTCTGAGGATTGATATGAAAGTTTCAAAAAATTGTGAAACTTGACTTTCTCAAAAAGCATAGGTCGCAGATTCTGGTTATTTTCTGAAAGCTCATTGATTGTTTTGCAACAATTTCATAAGTGTTAGAAAAAGAATGAAATGCTGCATCGAATGCTTCCAAGATCTCTTAGAAACCTTTGTTCCATCAGATATGGCGCCCGCTTGAAAAAAGCGAAATTACTTTCGGAATGACCTAATATAAATGAGCAAATAACTTGTTTATACTGTAAATGATTGATGCTTTTTTGAAATTCTCTAGATATCAAATCACCTGCAGAATAGTTGGCTGCCGCTGTTCCCCGTTTTTTGCAAATTTTGCAGTTATGGACCGCAAAGATGCTGGGAAGAATCCCAATTTTCGAAGTGCGCGGCCTCAGCCCGCACACCCTCATCTGAAAAACATTTATCCTTCCCCCCTCCTCTCCCTCCTCCTCCAAGCGCAAATTCTGAGCCAATGGTATTAACTAATAATTACACAATTTTATCACACAGTCATTTAGCCAATATATCGATCGTTGATGAAATCTTCTCTTCTTTAGTAGGTTTTTGTCGAGTCCCGTTTTCGTAATGACTTTGTTCTTTCTCGGAAAAACTCCAGTGAGGTATTATGTCGCACATGTCATTAGAAACAGCGTCCACGTTGTAAACAATTTATGATTTCATTCTTTCTGTTCAATCAAAATATCAAATTACAGCAGCGTGTTGGATTTCTCACGGGTCAGGCAGGACGTAGCGCTCTTGGTATGAGTGGCCTTCCAACTACAGCTCTCGCGCTTATATGGACATTGTCCGATGTTAATAAAGATGGGAAACTTAATGTTGACGAGTTCTGCATAGCAATGCACCTGATAGACATGTTTAAGGTCGGCATAAACTTATTCCGATAAGATATTCTTCAAATGATTTTAATGCAGGCGGGCTATGCACTACCTGATCAGACCCCTCCTGAGTTGATACAAATGTGTGGGATGTCGAGGTCAGCTAACAACAGTCCACAACTAGAGCCTGGTGCGCCACCAGCTCAGAAAAGTCCGGCTCCGAAAACTTTTGAAGACAAACGAATGGATAATTTTGCACGGGGGCAAGCTGAGCTTGAGCGCAGGAGACAGATATTGATGGAAGAGGTACAACAATTTTATTCGAGTATTCGTTTTTTCTATTTTTTCTCTCGCGACCATCCGCCCGTTAGTTTCTGATCTTTTTACGATGTTGCAATAATAGGAAAATCGACGTCGAGCTGAAATTGAAAAACGCGAAAGGGAAGAAGCCGAGAGGAAAGAAAGGGAACGATTAGAAAAAGAAAGACAACGAGAAATCGAGCGACAGGCTGAATTAGGTACGATGTGTCTAATCGCTGGACTTTCGTATTCGTTGGGGTAATTGTTCATCTTTGTGTTAGTCATTCAGTCTGTTTTTCAGTTCCGGTGATATAGGGTTTCTGAGACGAGAATCTTAATTCTATTTTTTTCACTAGTAAAATCAAAGTTTCAGAGCGTCTGCGACAGTTGGAAGAAGCTCGCTTAGAACAAGAATTGAAGCGGCAAGCCGAACGTGAAGCTGCCAGGAAGGAAGCTGAAAGACAAAGAATGATTGAAGCGGAGAAAATGAGATTGAAAGAAATGCAGGTGAGTGGTTTTAATTTTCTAACATTCAGTAATGCCCATGTTTACAACAGAATGCTTTCTATAGGTCATAGAAAATTTCCCTTGAATTCACATTAGTTTTCAGCTATACTTTTTGGGATAGATAATACCACGTTTTTTTTTCAAGAATTTGGGTTATGACCTTCATATTCGTTGTTAAAAGTTTCTTGTGGTGCATGCATCGCTGCTAATAGTTGGTTTTTGCATTCGACATTTCACCATTTCTGACAATTTGTCCTTTGTACATATCTGTCATCACAGTCTTTAGCAATGAAGCACATTTATCGCTTAGGCGCAGAAACAAAGGGAAGCTGAAATCACAGCGCAGCGTCAGCAACGCCAGAAGACGCTGACTTTCCAACTCCAGGCATTGTCAGAAAAATCGGTGGACACAGATACGAACATTACAAAGGTAGAAAATTACTTTTGACCCTGATTATTTTTATAATAGTTCTCTAACCTTTTAGGCTCGGGAGAGGATTGCGGAAATCACACACGAAATAGAAGGGATGAGGGACCAGCGCGACGAAAAACTGCAACGCATCGCTGAGTTGCAAAAGAACAATCAGCAAGTTAGTTTAGTTTTCTGGAACGGTATATAGATGGCCGTGTCACGCTAGAAACGTTTGCTTAATGGTGCATTTATCACATAAATCTTCGACTTTAGCTCAGTGTGCAAGCTCAAGAATTGGCTCATCAGTTATTACAATTACAAAGCGCCAATAAAGAAACGGTAGCCAGGAAGAACGAACTAGAAGAATTGAGGAAACGACGTGACGCAGCAAAGATTGTAGTGGCCGAAGCCGCTGCGCAAGTGGAAGCAACTCGCGCGAGAACCGCTGCTCAAATTGCGGAGGCTGAGAAGGTAGTTTCAATCACCTAAATTGTTCTCTATAAAATGCAATATGTTGCTGAAATAATAAATTAAAATTGCTTATATCAATAAATAGCAACTGCCTACATTGCAAGCTTCTTCTCATAACGAGAGGATACTTAGTCGAAAGCGCCAATCCAGATGAGACATATATCATCTCAAAGCGCTTGAAACGCTGATTCCAACTCTATACTTTTTAGCTGCGGAACGGTTTTGTAGTGGGAGTTATGAGGGTGTTTTCTTCTGGGATTGAGGTGCCTGTCAGATTTCGCCTCTTGTCTACGAGCACTATAGGGACACAAAATGGTGTCTGCTGGCATATTGATAAGCAGTTCGAATAAAAATTGCAATAAGGATTATAATACTCATATTACTTTCGTTTTTTGAACATTTCCAACTTCGATTAGCATCATTAGCTTCAGAAATTTCAGGCTTCAAGACTCCAAAGCCGTTTAAAAGCTCAATTTTCCAAAAATGCGACAAAGTTGCATGCGAAGGGATTGAAACCTCGGTATTTCCCTTATCAAGCAAGTCATTTACCACTAGGCCAGTTGCCACCACTTGGTACACCTCTACAGTCTCATAGATAAGGGGAGACCTGCTGGAGGGCGCCTCAACTCCAGAGGGAAACACCTCATAACTCCTTCTACAAAACCGTTCCGCAGCTAGAAACTATTGATTTGGAATCAGCATTTCATACGCTTTAAGATGATATATGTCTTATTTGAATTGGTGCTTTCGACTAACTATCCTTTTCTTGTCTGTAAAAAAAGCAATGGTTACCTTTACGTCAAAGTGTTTTTTAGAAGTCTGACGAGTACAATGCGGAACGGGCAGAGCTACTAAAAGCGCGTGAGGACTACCGGGAAGTGCTAAGCAAAGTAGCAGAGTTACAAACACAGGTATTAATATCAAGACAGTTTGGATAATAGCCATCTAAAAATTGTAGGCTCGTGCAAAGTTGACAGAGAAAGCTGCTGCTGCAGCTAAGGTTGCGGCTGAAGCCAAGGCAAAGGAGGAAGCAGAACGTGAGCTCGAAAACCGGCGGAAAGCTGCGGAAACAGCAGCTAACAGCGTCCAAGCTCAAGCCTTTGGAGAGGTGTTTTCTGGCCAGGCAGCTGCTACAACCTCTCCTACGAAAGCAACGCCCAATCAAAACTCTGCACCTGTTCTGCAGCAAGGTTAGTAAGTTTACTTCCAATTTAATTTCCAAACTCGCGATTCCTGACATCCCAAAGCCCTTTTCCTCTTGGTTTAAAGCGATGAAGATTTGTTTCCCAAATCTAGAGTCCGTTTCAAGTGGAGCTGCACTGCCGCTTGCGAGTGCTGGCGGAACGACGAAGTATCGTGCTTTGTTCGAGTTTTCGGCGCGAAGCGAGGATGAGTTGAGCTTCCAGCCTGGTGACGTTATACTTGTTTTTGAGTCGCATGCTGCTGAGCCTGGATGGAAAGCCGGGCAGATCAGAGACAAGGTATTTTGGGCAAAAGCTTCGAATATGCCTGCTTAGTGAATGCCTTTTTAACTCCAGGTCGGATGGTTTCCGGAAGCTTTCGCGGAGCCCATCGGCCCTGTTCATTCTGCAGTCTCGCAGGTGATCCTGCTTTCCTATTTTGGCTTTCACTTTGATTAATTTTGCTTCACGGTAAGTATTTTCATATACTCAAATTTTAGCCTATACAAAACATGCCACCAAATGTAACTCCGTCGCCTTCATTAGATAGGATTCCGGAAGAAGCAGCAGTAAAAACTGTTTTGTCTCCTAAGGGTTAGTTGTACATGTGCTACGTGCTTGCAGTCTATGTAGAGATTCAGAAGCTCAGCCTGAAACTGTGGCTGTCATTTGTAAGTGTGTGGCCCAGTTTCCATGGAAAGCCCGCAATGAAGGAGATCTATCGTTTTCAAAGGGTGACCCGATTGAGGTGAGATTAACCTGGCACTCTTCATCTCTCTCATCGCTTATTCTGAAAATATTCAGATAATTGAGCAACAAGAAATGAAATGGCGTGGACGCAAAGTCGATGGATCTACTGGGTGGTTCCCTAAAAGTTATGTGCGAATAGTCAATCAGGTATAATCCGGTGTTTTTTCCCACGTGTAAAGATGTACATTTAATGAGCTCTCATGCTAGGGGAGTTCGTCAACGTCACAGCCATCCTCCGCGGCTCATTCAGTTGATCAGGCGACACCCACTGCCGGATCACCAACCGCTGGTTCAACTACGCCTACTGGTAAAAGCGGTGCGAGCGCAAATAGTACACGGCAGGTATAGTTCAGCACATATATCATTTCTTGTATTATATGTTTTTTATTACATACTACATTTCTATTCTTCCTATACATTACATTTCTATTCTTTCTGTTTTTACATGTTCTGTAGAGGAAATGTATCGAGTTGGTTTGAGAAGGGCTTTCTGTTAACTTTTCAGACTATATTTTGTAGATGTCGCAGTCCAACTCTTCGCAGCAGATAAATATCCCACAATCTCAGTCGCGGCAGTCGATTGCATCGCAGTCCTCCAGAGGTATCCACTTTTCTGACTCCTTACATCACGAGTTTACAAGGCTTTTTTAGTATCTGCCTCAGGGCATCAAGCCACACACGACTGGTATGTGGCTATGTTCGACTTTGATGCTGTTGAACCAACTGACTTATCACTGAAAGTCGGTGATCGCATCCTGGTATTGGAGCGGTTGGTAGCTTAGTTTTTCTTCAACAAAAAGGTTTTTGCTTGTCACCGTGGTACCGTAATGTTGCGTATAAGCTACCCATATCTGTCAGTGCATCGCATATGCTGCAGCGTTTAGAATGTTTGATTTTATTATTGTCTATTAGGAGCAACACAAAAACAGCTTATTTGTAGGTACCTACAGATTATGTAAGCTATTCCTAATGTCGCATCATTTAGCAAGGATGACTGGTGGAAAGGTCGATGTAATGATCGTGAGGGAATATTTCCGGCCAACTACGTCCAGAAATGTGAATGTCAGTCGTTGACCCTAGCAAATTACACTGTGACTGTTCCATAACACTCAGTTCTGTTTAGCTCCGGTGGGTGCTGCGATCCCAATACTTTGCCGTGCTAGAGCAGTAGCTGACTTCGATGCGACCGCAGCTAACCAACTTACTCTCAAAACTGGTGACATTGTATCCGTACGCGAAAAGAGTTCCACTGGATGGTGGGAAGGTGAAATTGTGCGAGATGGACATACTCAGGCTGGATGGTTTCCAGGCGATTACGTCACGCCCATTCCTGTAAGATTTGCTTATTTGAATACCTCTCTTTTGACACAGGATCTGCTTTGTACTTTTTTTCAAAAACTGGGATGTAAAGTTTACCATGCGTAGCTTTCTCAGTATTTTTATGACTTGAGAGAGTAAACTTAGAACCTTTACCATTTCCTCGTTTAAAACGAACGTTGTTAGGATGCTTGTCAAATTTTTAAAGGTTCTTTGACCTCAAAACTTTTGAAAAAGGGTGCTCTACAACTACGCCCTCGAAATTTTTTTTCCAACGCTGAATTGTGAAATTGAGAGATTTGAAAAGTAATTGCAGTTGTACTAATAAGAACAAGTCACATGCACAATTTCTCAACTGTGTAGTTAACTTTTGAAAATTTGCAACCCATTCTTGGGGCGAGAAGGAGGAGGCCCTTATTTTGTAGTGGTTACAGAAAAAAATCAGAGATAATTGTACTGTTGCATCAGCTTTGCGTATTGTCATGGTGTGCAGGAAGTCAATGAAATGTACGCTTTACAGACCAATAACATCACCGAGAATACTGCAACAGCTATCTTCGACTACGAAGCTGGTCAAGCGGACGAGCTGTCTTTCAAGGCTGGTGACGTCATTGTTGTAAGTATCCTTGAGACGATTGGATTCATTTGCACTATAGGTTCAGTCCTGTCCGTTTTACTGTTCAGATTGTGGATAAGAAAGACGCCGACTGGTGGTCAGGACACAAGTTGGACACCCCGAATGTGCGAGGGCTCTTTCCGGCAAATTACGTGCAGACAAGGTGATATGTTGCACACAACCGTTTCTATCGCATTGAGCATTTTTTGGACTTAATCTGATCTTGCCACTATTGAAGTGGGGAGAACTATGATTTTTTTTGAAAGTCTGGTAAGCTAGAGGGACTGGTAATTTCTATTCGATGTCGTTCCATGATCACTTATTTACATGCTCTTGCAACAGTGGGTTGTTCGGTTACGGCATCACTTTCATGAATGCAATAACTATGACGTATACTCTGCTCCTGCAAATCCCGCCAAATCCAACTTGTTGCAAATCAAATTCATTCCTGTAACATCCTTTGTGGAGATATTTGAATGCCAGGTGGTAGTATATACCAGACTATGGTTCTCCTCGGCCCCCTCCACGTCAACCCCTTGTCCCATTATCACTTCACATCCTGTGTTATGAATTTCCACGTTATGAGCTTTTGTTGCCACACGTTTGCTCGCTCTTACGTCATCCAACTGATGAAGTAATCTTATTGGTGCTCCCCTTTTATCGAAGTGTGCTCTCCAGGTATATTTTTCACTTGTTCTATCACAAAAAAAGCCTCGCTACCTCTCCATTGTTTGAGAGCAGCGATGTCTAACAATGGTTTGACACAATTGAACATTGCGTGCATATCCTACAAGATAGTAGGAAATGCATTCGGTATTTGCGAAAATGTTGGTTGGAAGACGTAGGACAGCAATACTTTCCCTACATGTGTCTCGGATTCAAGACATGGGGCATTTGATACCACTTTAGCAAAACTTTTGCGATCAAGTGCTGTGCGAACGCTGATGTTTTGTGTGATAGTTTCTAGTTTGCTAGTCACTAGATTAAAGGTTGTGCAATTTTTACAGCTTCCAGTTCACTCATAATTAGGTGCATAATTGTTGAGATTTCTGCGCCATCTAAGCATAATTTATTCGCCAAATTTTCACGTATATGTTTATCTAGATATCGATGTCACTTCGCATAGTTTAAAGAATTCGTATTTTAGTATCCCTTTTGACATTCTCAGTTCGATTTTAGCAAATAAAGACTTCCGTGACTCCATCGACTTTTTTTCTGAGATACTCAATGTTGTGTGCTTGTGCTATGTCTGTGTGCTTTGTCCCGTGTCTGGTGTGAGCATGTTGCATGCTGCATGCAAAGCATGATCTCTTTGCGACATCGAGTTTCTTGAAAAGTTTTCTGTAGTGTCGCTTTGTCATCAACAAATTAAGTCGGGAAAGGGCTTAAATACATTGTCTATCCGATGTTAGACAATCAAACGCGAACTCAAGAGTGCCCTAACATTTATTAACTTGAGAACAATCGTGTAGTTTCTGCTTCAACTTGTCATTCATCTAGATCCACCGTTCCGTCTGTGATTGTGTTTTTGCTTACGGAATGCGCGGGAAGGGCTTACCTAACTTGTATCTTGACATAAATGAACGGAATCCAAAGTTCCTTCTTTGCACTACGTAAATGCGTAGATTGAACTTAGGCCCATATGCATAAAAATTCCTGCGGCTATGGGAGCGTTCGTCTTCAATGATGAAAAAGTTGCAACGGTGTTCGCCCGCGCCTCTTCATAAGGAGAGATGACGTTTCCCGCGCTTCGGGGACTTTCATGCAAACGAGTTTAAGAGGTCCTGGATTTTTCATTGATTACTATTAAAATTTTATGCTAGTAGAATAGGGCGTTTAATTTATGTCAGTGTGGTTACAGCGCTTGAATTTCTTTCGGATGCCCCATAACGTTTTGGATTATTGGAAGTTGGTCAAATCGTAGAGGATTTTAGTTTTTTTAGTCGGAGTAATTGTTCTAAATTTTCCAATGTCAGTTTTCTGGTATTATGCTGGTGCCCATTAGGCTCTATGAAAGGATTCCTAACTATTTTAGTGCAGTCGAGACCGTTTGTAGTCACTGCCGCCATTGCCCAGGCAGTGGAGGTTCTTTCAGACTATGTCAGTTGCAGAAATGTTTTCCCATCATCTTTGATCTAGCGCCTGAACGAGGTATAGTCTGTGTACCAGGCAGGAAATGGTCAGAACCTAACGCAGCCATTCCAAGCAAGCTGTATCATCGATTCGTTGACCGTTCCGAATGCTCATACGCTGCGGATTACGCGCGGCGTCGCGGAAGAATTGTCGCGAGAGCACGACTTATACAGTGACGGATTCGTACTGGGGCAAGCGTTTTAACTCGCGGCGCGTGCTCCGCAGTGATGTCCGGTCCGTGCGGTCAACGGGTCAACTATATATCAACGGTCTCATCTTAAAGGCAGTGTCCGCGCAAAAACTCGATTTTGAGATTTTGTGCTTACCCGGGCCTTTTCGCTATGCTGAATCCGAAAATCCACATTGGAGAGCGCGAAAACGACGAAAAAGGTCTCTAATACGGGAGGGAAATCAGCAAGTGGACGGGGTCTTCCCCACGGTGAATTCACGCTCCCAGCTTCGGGGGCGATCTTTTTGATTCCGGTTTCAAGTCATTCGTTTGCACTTGATCGGTAGTGATGTCAGGGCGGCTAACGAATTCGAGAAAATTGCTCTGGAAGCTGGAAGCGTGAATTCGCAATGGGGAAGACCCCGCCCACTTGCTGATTTCCCTCCAGTGTTAGAGCCCTTTTTTGCCGTTTTCGCGCTCTCCAGTGTGGATTTTCGGATTCAGCATAGCGAATAGGCCCGGGTAAGCACAAAATCTCAAAATCGACTTTTTGCCCGGACACTGCCTTTAAGAAAGCTATTTCAAATATATGTTTATTATCTGCCAAACGACTATCTGAAAGGTGTTATGAGCGTTTAAATATAAGATTTCTATCGAGTTTCGACGAATGTACTTCCTTGGAAGGCAGCCTGATGGCGCGCATTTACAGTGACTAGGTTATTTCATTTTACAAGGAAGAAGCAAATTCTCGAAAAAACTAAATAATTGTTTTTGAAACCTATTTCTTGGAATATGGGCCCAGAACACTTGACAAATCGCACATCTAAACGCTCATAACTTTTTCCAGACAGTCGCTTGGCAGAAAGTAAACAAATGTGTTCAGCGTTTCAAGGCAATTCCGATAATATACAGCATGTTTGGTATGGCTGGGTTAATTTCTCATCATTCCTTGGGGAGATTTCTTCCCAAATTTCTTCCCAAACCACCAGGACGCAATTTTTTGCTGCTTTTGATGAGTACAGATGCAGCAGGGTTTTTGCACCGTGTTTATAATTAGTTTGATCATACTTATGTTCGCCTAATAAAGAGTGTTGCCTTAGGGCACTGGGGTACAAACTAACATGGTGAACTATACAGTTTGACGCTTTCACCTATGTTCATTGTGAAATGCTGTGGTTGTCTATAGTTGTTTGCTAGAAATGACGACAACACTGCCCTGTCCAATTGTGTTGTGCCTGTGTCGTCGCTGTATGACGAGCCACCAGGAGAAGAACTCAGGAAGGACAAGAAAACTGCATTGAAGCAGGACCTGCCTGCTTCGTCGCTTTATGAAGAACCACCGGATGAAGACACTAGCAAGTCAGCCGCATTCAAGCCGGTCGTGGCTGCCTCTTCGCTTTACGAAGAACCACCGGAGGAGGTGCTGAAGACGAATGCATGCTACGACCTGCCCCCAGGGCCGTCTTCCTCGAGCCAACTCTACGATCTACCCCCGACGATCGAGGAGAACACACATCAGTTCAATAAGCTTTCTGAGGTTGTTCACTTCCATCCTCTAAGTAATGATTGACACATGCTTTGCAGGAACTACTTTCAACGGAAGAGAGATACTTGGGCGATTTGCTTTTAGCCAAGAAATTATTTCATGATAACCTTTTGAAACTTCAATATAAAAAAGAGGTTGAGACTATCTTTCGCCATTGGGACCAGCTCATGGACGTCTCTAGAAAGGTTTACATGCGGTTGAAAAAATGCGAATCTCCAGGTTCGTTGTGTTCGCACGGGCAAACAAAAGCAATTGTAAATTTTCAGGACAAGTTTTCATATCCGAGATCGATTCCCTATCGGTGTTTGTGGCTTTTTGTAGCCATCAGCAAACAGCACTGGATGCTATGAACCAGCTATTGACGCATAATGATGCTCAGAAACTCTATGGCAAGTGCATGGCTAGCGTCGCAGCGCGAGGAATGAGCCTCTATACGTTTTTGTTGATGCCACTGGGACGAGTTACTCGGTAAGTTTATTCAAGACTTTTCGTTTCGCTATGATTTTATTCACCAAAAAGTACGCGGCAATTTTTTCAAAATATTACATCAGTGTTAAGGCGTCGCTATAATTGTTTTAACACAATGACGACCGCTTGACACACATGTGTTCAAGGCTCAGATTTCTTAAGAATGACGACTTCTTGCGACATATCATTCCAAGAGTTTTATTTTGTGTTGGAGCTAGAAATAACCTTTATCTTTTTTTGCAAGCCTCTCAGAGCTGTTGTAGGTATACCGTCGATAGCAGATTGCGTGTACTCGTAAAACGTCTTGGTCTCAGAAGGCAGACACTTAAGAATTTGCGTGATCGCCATTGCGTTGATCTCGCTGTTAGCGATTCTCTTTTCTTTTTGTGTGAAGCAATGGTTGCTCGAGAGTGATACATTGATTAGTGGAATCATAAATGGTGAGATGATGAGTAAACTCATTCTACTCCTCAAATTTTTATGTTGATCGAGCACTGAGTGGAGGGAAGCGGAAGATGTGGGCTAGCCGGTCACCACAATGCTATTCATGACGTCGTTCAACTACATTCTTCGAGAGCAGCCTTCAGAGAGGCTGCTTTTAACGTTGCCTGTGCCAAGCGCCTGCCTGCTCCATTGACCGACCACTACGGTGCGCTTACAAGTGGCGCTGGCACGGCGCTGGCAACTTTGGATGCAGCTAACAACAAGAGAAGTGCTTCTGCACTACTTTCCAAAGAAAGTTCCTCCATAGAGGTCCTTATTTCGACGAAATAATAGCGAAACATGCATGATCTGATATAACGCAAGGGAATTTTCGACATGCTGGAATTTCATGTGTTTTGAGTTTTCAGTCTAATCACGCATTAGCATGTCTAGATTTTATGAATAGTAAGCAAAGTTTTTTTTTCAGGTATCCATTATTGATTGAGAAAATTCTCAAGGAATGCGATCCAAAAAGTGAACTACACCAGGTATTTCCATACTGCTTGATTGTGCCGCTAATAATTATTTTTCCAGGAACTGGACACCGCCTTGCAGCTACTACGAGCGCTTGTTTCCGAGGTGAACCGGGCAGTTACTGAGGAGGAGAACGTTTTTCTTCTATGTTGGGCACAGTCCCATGTTAAGTGCCCATCTTCAATACAAATAAATTTTACTTCAAATACGAGATTAGTGGTAAGCTTGGTCCTTTAGCTCCAGAGTGTCTGATTTATTACTGTCATTCAAGGGTAAAAGATCGTTTCTACATTCTGGGGTGCTTTACAAACAACGTAGTGGTCGCCTATTGGTTGGTCTTCTTTTTAACGACTTTCTCATGCTGACTGTTCCGGATGAGCATCTATCCGAGGTATAAATTTTCCTTATTTCAGTGCATTCGAATCTCGCATAGTTCACAGTTCTATTCAGCCAAACTCCTTCAAGATTTCGAAAACTACAGAAACTCGACTTACGCTCTATAAGCAACCAATTCCATTATCAGACCTCAAAATCCTTCCTTCAAATGATGATGTCATCTTGAATATCCAAAATGGTAAGTTTTCTCTTATCACTTGGTACAAACTCACAGATGGTGGAGAGTAGCGCGAAAGTGAGAAGATAAGCAATAGATATCGTTAAGGCAATGACACCGTTTGCTTGCGATGTGTCAGCAGCAATGCGCGTCGTTTGTGGAAAACTCAACTAGAACAAGCCATCGATGTCTATGCCATCGCCGTTTCGGAACAGCAGCATGGAAAGGTTGTAGGTTATAAGGCAGCGTTCAGAGTTGATCACTCCGGAGCTGTTCCAGTGCCGTGCTATCGCCGTGCCGAAACGCACGTGTATGCACCTCATAGTGATCGATCGACGTTCCTGGCACGGCGCTGGCATGGCACTGAAAAAGCGTTCCTATAAACATGATTTTTACAGAAATCACTTGTGAATGGGAGAATCATCGGTCGATTGTTGATTGACGTAATGAACGTCAAAAATTTTCATGCAAAAGCTTCGGACTCCACCTCGGTATCGTGTCATCGCGCTACATTCAAATTGTCACTTTTCAAACAAAGAACTTTTTCAGCAAATCCTTCACCTTTCACTCGGCACTTCTCGCGAGATGTTCGACATAGATCTCTCCAAAAAATCTGATCTGCATATATCCGCTCAATTTCCTTTTACACATACCTCACTCAGTTTCGTTGTCAAACTACTGAAAAAGAATCTCTTTTCTCCGGATGAGCAATTGCTAGGTTTTTACAATTGCCAGGTGAAATTCCTAAACAGGATTTTATTTTACAGATGAAGGCATTGTTCCACTGTCCGAGCTAATCCGGGAATCATCCCACCATCGTGGGCCACTAATAAAACCAGTATACTTGAGAAAAGGTAATCTTGAATTACAAAGGTAAAATTTAGTTGGCTTAAACCCAAAATAATTTCTTTCAGACATGGATAAAGCGAAACCACCGGAAACGATCACTATAAAATTTGCTGTTCAGATGTTTGATGTTAATATGTAATAATGAAATTTAGTATTATTCAAGTAGTTTATCTTCAGGGAAGCGAACTGATGCTTTTGTTATGTACAACTGTATAGCTCCCACATACTTTCTTGAACAACAATCAACCAGTGGCGGTCCCAGGCTTTCCGACGGGGTTGGGGGGGGGGGGGGAACATTTTCTGGGCGAAGGTGTGTGTGTGTGGTAGCCACGCACTTGGAATTTTTTGGGATGCTTTCCAAAATTTTTACGGGCCCATGACCCCGAAATTTAAAAAAAAAGGCCTTGAAAAAGAGTTTATCAGGTTGATCTGAATTTTTAAAAAGTTTCAGAAATTATTTTAATTATTGACAAGTATAAACAAGTCATTTGCACATTCTTATAACCCATCTTACAAGGGAAGGATACCAACATTAGTTGGCAATTGAAGATGAGATGTATGTCGTTAGATGCGCCTTTGAACGCTGATTCCAAATCTGCTTTCCTTTTTTGCGGAATAAGTTTCGGAAAGAAGTTATGAGCGTTTGAATGTGCAAATTTGCCAAACATTGAGTGGCTTGAAACTAGCGAAAAGCTTTATAATAATATCTATGCGATTTCCGCCGGCTTCGCTCCTTCCTTGCAAACAGTATACTCGATACAAAAATGATTTTCCAATTTCCGCTGTTTTTGTACAGCTTTTCGCCGATTTTAGGCCACCTAAACCTTGCCAAATTTGGACATTTGAACGCCCACAAGTTCTTTCGGTAACCCATTCCGCAGAAAAGGAAAACAGATTTGGAATCAGCGTTCAAAGGCGCGTCTACTGATATACATCACATCTTCAGTCGCCGACTAATGTTGGTATCCTTCCCTTGTTAGTTATATTCAGAAATTTCGCGATCCATTCTTGGGTCGGGGGCCTCGGTCAGCTGGACTCATATCCACGAAAGTCCATAATGGAGGAAAATGGACTTACTTAGTCCATTTTATTCGTTCGCGTTAGAAAGTGGTCGAAATCGGCTCCCGCTTACGATATCCAAAATTTTTCATCCTATCGCAACCGCGAGGCAAAGCGGTGAAATGAAAATGATTCAAGCTTACTTGAGCTATCGCTCGCGGAAGATGACGTCAAAAGTCCATTTTAGGATGGGGCAAAATGGAGTTCACCTCCATGTTCATTCTCTCTCACCTTTCTGATAAGCCCATTTTACTCCCAGCAGCCAGATGTGCTGGGACTAAGAACATTTTTAACCTTCTTGCATATTTTTGATTGCGATTTTTTGAGAATATGTTCCCTAGCCCATTTTAAGATACTAAGCGAACGGAAAAAGTTTTATCCTCTTTAGGAGGGCCAAAAAACTATCTTTTCCAAACTACCTTGAAATGCTTTGAAAATCATATAAAAATCTTTTTCGTAGACAGTTGAGACAGACAGACAGACAGACAGACACAAAGACGGCAATTCAAACGCGATTTTGAGTTTGGTAGCAAGAAGTACTGAAGTATCGCTAGCAAGTCAGAAAATCCTTTGAAAAATTTCTTACTAGCTATAGTCTATACATTAGTCACTTCCTGCTCTCGTATGGAAATGTAAAAAAATCGCAATTTATCAAAATTAAACAAGTCATTTTATAGAGAAAATCTTCCCGATACGTCATTTTGTTACCGAAAACACTTTTCAATATCCAAAACGTCGAAGCGAACTTTGTTTTATTTTCGAATATAGAGCATCACATTAGGGTTGAGAAAAAAGATTACCTGATTGATACTGGATTATGCGAGAGCTTTTTCAACAACCGGTTAATTTGAATTCTGTTCAAAATCTCTGATAAGGTTGCCAATAGCAAAAGGCATTGGTTCAAGCATTCCCTAAATGCTGAGACGGATATAAGTCCGCTTTGCTTCAGTTGTTCGTAGCACTTCCCCTAAGCAACTTTGATCATCAAAAGCACATATGACTTGGGATCAGAGTATATGCCTAGATAAGTTCTAAACGCAAAATTGAATTCAGTGACTTTGTCATCATTCTAGTATCCACCCCTCAAACTCACACAGTTGATGCAAGAAACAGCTTCATATATCGAACGCCATATTTGCATGAAGTTTTGGGGTTGCTGAAGTACAGCATGAGAAGCCATCAATTTTTTGCAGATCTAAAGTTTTTCCAGCTTAAAAGCCTTTGTGTTGTAGTGTAGTACAAGGTTTTCTGTGAGATAAGCATTTTGATTTACAAATTGCAATGCAAGTCTAGCCAAAGTTTGCTTTCTGCTGGAAACTCCACATACGAATTTGATTCAATGCAAATTCATAGAAGTTTTGAAGAGCGAATGCCCTGATATTACTTGGATTTCAGATGGACTGGAACTAATTTAGATGCATAGTCATAGTTAATAAATGGCATTCTATGAGATGTAATGAAATGGAAAAGAACGGAGTATGCACGTGACTGATATAGTAAAGTTAGATCAGCCTAGATATCGACCAATTGGTGGGAATGAGTTTGCAAGAGTGAGTAAACAGGTTGAGGCAAGTTGAAGAAAGGTTTGCTGAAGCATTTTTGTATGGAATGAATGGATTCGCGAACGCGATATCTTATCGCACCGCAGGGACTAAGCCCATTTTATTCGCGTTTCATTCGCGAAAAGCCCATTTTTAAATGGACTTTCGTGGATATCATTCCTGGAGTTAACATGTAACTACTCAGACAATTGCATCGGAAAGTTCGCGGCCTCAAAGCGTGTTATATGGCGCGCCGCGGCCCTTAAAATGTCAGCCGCACACGCCGCGGCCCATGTATATTTTACCGGGAACGCCGCGGCCAAAGTTGAAACCGGGAAGAGATTACCGGGAAGGTCGCGGCCCAACCACCTCACTCGGCGGGCCGCGGGCGCTATCAAAAGCCGCACTTCTTACACACTGTAGTTTAAGGCTCAACCCTCGTGAGGTACGTCGCAGCGATGGGGCTACCCTAAGTGTTTATGAGGCTAGGTATCGCTTCTCGGATTTGGTCCTATCTGACAAAGTTGAGTTTTTATGCTGATGAAATAAACTTCAGCAGTCGGATGAGTAATATCGACGACATTAAATGATGTCGACAGATAAGCTAACAAGTTGCTCAATTTGTGCTCAAGTCGTTGTCATGAAAGACACGCCAAATGATTTTTCGCTCTTCCTAGGCCTTACAAGCATGCTAATCGGGTCAACTATCGGGCGCTTACAGGGTGCACCGCGGTCACTTATCGGGTCCAATTTCGGTTCATACCGGGCAGCTCGCGGCATGGATGATTGGTGGTCGAGCAAGCACCCGCGAACTTAACCATCCGATTGTCTGAGTAGCAGAGGCCTTCAATTTTCTCCGTTCTGCCATCATCCTAAGACTTTGCTATCTGAATTGGCAGCGAACAGTGGAAGATGAGACATGCTACTCTAGCACACAATCAGATCGATGTAGCTAATTGAATGCCATTTCAATTCACAGCAGGTTCAGATCACAAATGTACCAACAGAGTTGTTCCATTTCCAAAGCGGTAATATTTTTTTATAAATGTCAGACAGTTATGAAAATCACTGTGGCAAGTATTAAGTTGAACCGTTCGTTCGCACCATATTCAAAAAAACATAACTTCTGACTTTTCCAACAGATTTGACTGCTTTTTTTATGAAAGAGTAAGTCATGCTCTTTATAATGACACCTTAGCTGCTTACTAATGGTCATCTGTTGCATAGATAGGAGCGAAAGGAGAAAATTGGTCAGAATTTGAATTTTCTGTGTAGGGTCATAAAAATTGGAAACTTGCAACAAAAATCGGAACAGTCGGTATTATAGGTTTTTACACCATTTCTAACTGTGCAAAATTTGCGCCATTTAGCGTCTCTACGAAAAGTTACGATTTTCGAGCAAGCAATGCAAGAGGCGAATTTGATTTATTGTGGTACTTTTCAGGGAAATCATAACTTTTCATAGAAAAGCTCAATAGGCGCAAACTTGGCACTGTTAGAAAGAGCTGGTGAAAGAACCTACAATACCGACTGTTCCGATTTTTGTCGCAAGTTTCCGATTTTTTATGACCCTACACAGAAAATTCAAAATTTGACCAATTTTCTTCTATCGCTCCTATCTATGCAACAGATGACCATTAGTAAGCATCTAAGATGTCATTATAAAGAGCATGACTTGCTCTTTCAGAGAATGCTCAAATCGGTTGAAACAAGCAGAAGTTATGAATTTTTGAAAATGGTGCGAACGAACTTTTGGTTCAACCTAATAGTATAAGTATTGAAATAGTTGTTAGCTAATTATCGCACTATGAGAGGCAATTAAATCTGAAACAGGGAATGCAATAAGGATTGAAGTTTTGTGACTTCCGGACATATCTCAGAGTAGCTAGGAAACAATGATGTCAGTTCTGTATACCACCCTAAAATAACAACAAAGATTGTTATAACAAAGCGCACTTTCCTCGCGAAAGCCTGGTAATTGGAGTAGAACGGAGGATAATAAATGGAGTTTGTAAAAGTTATCAAACATGCGGCACATCCAAGGATCCTCCTTTATATCGTCATGGTGTTACACAAAAAATTCCGAGTCTCGCTTAATCATAATTGCATCAGAAAGCGCTGTTTCAGATATCCAAACCCCAGTTCGATAGGAAAAACTCAAAAAAAAGTTACAGCAATGCGGTACTTTTGACGTGAGATTGCGCTTGAAATTTTCCAAGACGACAGTGCCAGAGACGTAGTAATGAATGGTCTTCAGATAAGCAGCCGAGTAAGTAAACCGCAAAACCTGCGCATAGTCTTGACTTGCAGAGTTTTTCCTTGGAGAAGCTCTTTAATTTAAGATTTTGATTTTTGCGGAAGAGAGATTTTTCACTTGAAGCAAAGATTCTATCATAACTTATAATAACGGGCTAAGGATGTTTACGTTTTTTTGTGTGTGTGTGTGTCTGTCTGTCTGTCCGTTACGAAATTTGAGGAGCGTGTTCCAGCCAACTTCCAGAGCCCAAATCTTGCGTGGCGCATGCTAGCTGCATGAAAGTCCGCTATGCTGAAGCACGAGCGGATTCGTTGAGTGGATCCCCCAAAAATTGCGCTTCAAACGGGTCCACTTGGCTTCTGGCCAACAGAAATGGGCCTGTACCACCACTTTTTGCGAGGTTATGGATATGATTAGCAAGCTAATGTGTAAGCCAAGGACTTTAGCCCAAAAATGGAACTAAAGTTTATCACTTCATGAAAATGGCGCCGAAAATAATAAGTTGCGTAAATGTTCAATTCGCCAAGATTTTACCTGATCGTTTGAGATGATTTTTGCACAGAGATGTAGCCCACCGTGATCGTCGTCGTTATGGTGGATTATCAAACAACAAAAAGTCCAAAAACCGGCTCAAATTTGCATTTATTCTTTTCGGAAAGGTTTCATCCACCCAAAAATACCGATCTCACATAAAAAAGTTCTTGGAATGAGTAGTTGTTTACAAATCATTCGTGATAGCCTGCATACCGCGGTGAGTTTCAACATCATTCTTAGCGGGAGTGAGTAAAGGCACAAAAAGTAGGGCCAGTGCGAGCCTCTGCGAAGCAGAGGTGACGCACTGGTAGATAATAATTTGACTAATGTCTAGTGGTAAGTTGAGTTACATTGTGCGCTCTCCATGCTACAAACTTTTTTTAAAATTTATACAAAAACTTCTATTTAAGTTATTAGGAAACGTGTATATCAGCTATAGATGGTCATAACACTGAATCTCTGCGCTGTCACAGTTTATCCAAAAACCAGCTCTCCTCTGTAGTTTCCGGCAGGTACAGTACTTGTGTCTATCTATAATACTGAGGCTAATCCTTAATCAAGAAACTGAAAACCAATCTCACATCGAAAAAGTAAGGATGATGAAGCGCGCTTCGCATAGAGATGCGGAGCGATGGATCATATCGGAGCATCGCCTAAAGATTTTATTGAATAGAACATTGGAGCAACTCCAAAACGGACACCTGAATAAGGCTGATTAGCCGATTTTCCGTGTAAGGTCTCAGCGTTTCAGCGAGTCGGTTATTCTTCCATTTGGGGAAATTCATCTTGAATTGAGGCAAGGAGCAAACACCCTGCCATTCCTTTTCTCCTGGCGTGCCAAGGAGTCTAAAAAGTTTCTTGATTAGGACACCACATAGTTTAGTTTGCTACCTGAAAGTTTGGAACAACTGATCGATTTCTGAATCGCCTCTGAAGAGTGGTTTTTTCAGAACTATTTCTGCTAAGATACAACCGATAGCCCAAGCGTCGATAGCAGCTGCATATCGGTTGGCACCGAGAAGAATCTCCGGAGCGCGATACCATAGAGTTACGACCTCAAGCAAATAATTTCATGCCGCTCAAGATCCTCAGCTGCTGTAAGTTTACCTCATGAGTATAGACTCGAACAGGAATATTTATCGCTCTTGATAGGCCAAAATCTGCTATTTTGATGACGCCAAGATCGTCGATAAGTAGGTTTTGTGGCTTTAAATCACGATGTACAATCCTTCGTTGGTGCATGAAGCATGTAGCCTGACACGTCTAAAAAGCATTATGCTAAACGACATCGGTATGAGTAAAATTTATTTAGCCTACTCAACCTGGAATGCAATACGCTGTACGGTAGCTGGTGGGACGTGTCCTTCATCGGGAAGTAAATCGAGATACTTGCGGATGTCCATCATAATGAACTCAAAAAGAAGGTAGAGGCGATTTTCCTGAGTTCGATATGTAGAAAATTTACAGTTCATTCCGTCTCACGCTTACTTGCATGCAAACGCCTAGTAACTTTACTATATTTGGATGGTCCAATTCTCGTAACATGGAAATCTCGCGAAGTGTGGTAGCAGGTATTCCCTGGAGTATATATGATTTTTTTGTAAGAAGTGAGCTGAGCAAATTGAGAGTCAGTATGGAATGAGAGAATTAGACACTTAGGACAGAGTTTCGCAAGGAAGATTTTAAATTCTGTAGATGCTATGTTATCCCAAGTTCCAATCGCGTAATCTCTTTATTTTACTTTTCGTTGTATGCAGTTACATTTAACAGTGTTAAATGAGGACATTCTGATTTTCGGATTCAGAATTTGTCCTTTGCAAGCCTTGACCAGCAGCTTCAATTTTCCGAAGACCGGCCCGAATTGTAAAAACTCTCAGTTTCGATATGAGTACGAAAGTTGAGAAGAAATTTTGAAAACACAAGCCTGCAAAACTCGAAAAAGAATCTCATATGATACCTCATCTTCAAATTCTAGTCGAATTTTCTTTATGGCAACTAGCTGGCGTGTTTCTTTATGCTCCGCTTTGTACACTACACCATAAGTCCCTGAAGTTCTTCCTGCAGTGGTATTCCTTGAAGATACAATTTGTAACTTTCACCTTCTCCAACTTTATCCAATTTGACATATTCATCAATGCTGTCACGCACAAATTTGTTCCCATGCATTTTCAATATTTTCTCTGCAAAGCGCGAGATGCCACTGTGTGATTTCTTCATGTTCAAGGAGAACCTTACCTAATGAATGGCTTTGTGTAAATGAATTAATCTGGTATTTCTAAGATAACTATGTCTCAAATGATAATCTCATTCGGTATCATATATAGTTCCCTGACATGGGAGGGTGGTTTTATTTGTGAGAATGTGCGAACGCAGCGGTCAAGCACCTTTCACTTCATTCCATGGTTGACAGTCTTCATCTGGGACTGATATCTGAAGTTTCTCGGATTTTTACTCAGGAGATTGCGAAACGTGAGAAATTTTCAGTGCAGTCCGAACTATAGTTTTTTTTTTCAAGACAGGGTCATGTATCGAAGTAAAAGTACATAGGTTAATTGTATGACTTATGTAAATACATATATTATTTCTCACCTTCTACAACTACTGGTTATTCTGTTTAAGAGACATCCCCAAATGCTCTTGTTCAGCTATGGTAATATTTTTTGATAGGGTTCCCTTCGTTGACGTCTTTATCAGGCGTAATCAGCCTGAGAATTGCCAGGTGCAGCCGATACGGATCTTCTGACTACAAGACATCTATTGTATCTCCATAATCGCCTTTTTTGATTACGATAGAGGCGAAACTCTGGCCTTGTTTAGGTCTTGTATAGCGTGTTTTCTAATCATTTTGTTTCTCCAGAAAATACCTTTCATTTTCGCTGCTACTGACTCATTTCTCACTTTCATAATTGTTCTCAACTTAGCAACAGAGTTGCTTAGGTCAGAATTAACCTTGTTGCACCTTTTCCGTCTTCCCTCGCAAATTTCTTGTAATTTCAGCAAATTCTTATACGTACCCTAAAATCCGTACACTAAGTCCGGACTTATCTGCAGTTTTGACACGGAAAATCGATAAAAAATCGCCCTCTGCGCCCGCCAAAAGTCTTGCAGATAAGTCCTCCTAGATCCTCTATCAGATAAGTCCGCAGCAGATAAGTTCCCCTATCCTGAGCATGAGAAAGCGGACTTATCTGCAGGACTCTTGGCGGCGCGAGGGCGACTTTCGTTGTCAAGAGCGGACTTATCTGCTAGGTCTGCTGCGGACTTATCTGATAGGTGGACTTATCTGATAGGCGGACTTATTGTACGGATTTTAGGGTAATATATATATGTGTAACTATATGTGGGGATAAAAAGGCTATCCATTAGCATCTTTCCCACCTTCATGGACTAAGTTAAAGCAGATGACTGCTTATGGATGTTTACGAGCACCACTGCTGATGCGAAGGCAGTTTAAAGGCTCATTATATAACACAAGTTAGAGATCAGCAGAAATTCGGGGGAATCTTGAAAAAAAATTCGAAAAGTTATGTTTTCAATGTGTCAAATTTAAACGGCAAAACCCTACGACCACGTAATTTCTAGAAGGGAAAGAAATGCGATAAAAATACTATGAAGACCTCTTGAGTACAACATTATGTCTCGACCTAAGTGGTGTTAGAAATAACCTTGAGGAAGGTATTGCAAGATTAACGTGATTGCAAAACTATATGGTACTCCAATAATGAGTCAGACGAGATTTTGGGTGCGAAAGGCCATCCGAAGACTCATTAGCAAATCATTATCCAATCTTCATCAACAGCGATTGTTCGCACATCATCGCCCTAAGGCCCCCTGTTCACTTTCTGGGCCGTTTTTTCTTCGTTCATGTCGCGTTATTACACTTGTCCATGGTCAACTGGCAGACAGTCGCCACTTCACCAGTTACGTGCTGCTGTAACTTGCTGAATGTTTCTGCCCCCTGACCAGTTCTTTCTCTATTTACGAAAGTTTTATAGTCAAGTCCGTGAAGTACGATTTCAAAAAAAAGCATGGGAGATTGCGTGTTACATTTCTTATGTTTCTAACAGATATTTGCTCACGCTAAAACTTTGCGTTGCTCAATATTTAGCCCAAAACAAGGAAAAACCTTATCTTACGGGTTTCAAACCGATGCATAAGCAGAGAAGCTTTTTGGTCTCACTTATCTTGTTCCAATATATACATCAAATCATGTGCAAACATCGCTATTTATACCATACTCTCTCACTCTTACCAGCATTTCATTGCAGATCGGAGGTGCAGTGTTTGTTTAAACAAGAAGGGTTCCGCTTTTTGTCTCTACCTTGTATCCTTTCTGATATGATTATCAGTGCAAGATCTACACAGGAAGCCATGCTCAGTCAATGACCTTTCCCTTCTTTATGCGACGTTTACGCAATAAAATTTCTCACTAGTTAAGGAGATTGAATGACTGCTTCTAAAGCCTTTTCAGAGAGAGAGAGATTGTGCTTCATTTCAGCTTGCAATCTAATCACATCGTTATACTAAAACTGTTTGTAAAATGACCAGTGCGTCACCTCCGCTTCGCGGAGGTTCGCACTGGCTCCCTATCCGTATGCCTTTCTCATGTTCGCATGAGAATGGCTTTGAAACTCACCAAGCGATGCTGAGCATCACAAATTAATCGTAAACAAATGTTCGTTCATGAAGCATCTCCATGTAAGATCAGTAATTTTTAGGAAAAAAAAACTTTGTTGCAAGGAAACAAATGCGAATTTGAAAGGATTACTGGATTTATTCTAGTTTGATGATCGTCATAAGGATAATAGTCACCTAGGGCAACATTTCGGTGCAAAAATCTTTTCAGTTTTTTCAAATAAAACCTTGCCAAAGCGACTATCTACCGCTCATCAATTTTTGGCGCTGTTTTCGCAGAAAAGCAAACTTTCTGAGCATTTTTTGGGCTAGAAATCATGGCGCGCAGAGTTACTTGTCAGGCAAATCATAACTTTGCAAAAAGTCGAATTAGCGACCCAGTTTTGCGTGCCAAAAGGCGCGTGGACCCGTTTGACGCGCAAATTTTGAGGGACCCGCTTATCGAACCAGCTCGTCCTTGTACATGGTGGGCCTACACGCTGGCACGGTATGTTATGCAAAATTGCAGCCCGATAGATTAGTTGCAGCTTCCTCTATGATTTTCGTTACAGACAGATTTTCACACAGACACACAGACACACAAAAAAACAGACGGCCTTAGCGCGTTATTATAGTAGGATTATTTGATACTGGAGCCCCTTTGTCTTAGCTTATTTCTATGGACCCCATTACAAAGTCTCTATCGGAAACTGTAGTTTGCAATATGCACCAAATTAGAGTTCACAAGAACATAACCACAACAATAATCATGTCACACTATATGCCGTCTGTATTCCTAAGTATTACATTCGTGCGGTGATCTCGCAGATTACAAATCTATTAATTCTATGAAAAGTTATGGCCAAATCAAACACGCAAGTCCGGCAAATTCGGCGAACAAGTAATGCATTGTCATGATTGTAATTTTTAATCTCGACAGACTTCCTTTTTTAGCTCTTCACTTGAGGCGATTCTGTTTTCGATTTCTTTGTAATTGATAAGCTGCTGCATTCACACCTTGATGACAGCTTTTCGAATCCATTAAAAATTACATTGTGCATTTATTTTTTTCTCTAATAATCCCTACAAGTCTTACTTGGGACAGCTTTTCTCCTGAACTTGCAGAGCTAGAAGTTATGAAGCTGTGCGTTTTAGAAAAAACAAAGCCACTCTGGTCAACATCTCCTCTGCCATGGCATACCAAACATTCCGCGTGCTATCTTTCTCAAAACCATCGCTTTTGTTTATACTTTCTTTCTGATAAGACGAACTTCTCACTCAAACAAGCATTCATCACAATGACATTGTAGAGAACATGACCGTCATGCAACTAGTTTGTAAATCTTGACAAATGACGGGGCTCAAGTGATTCATTGTAATGTTCTCCATCGCAATGATTCATTACTTGAAGTAAAGCAAACATTTATTGGTTGTGAGGACAAGCACAAGCCATGAACCATGGGGAGGGAACTGATATTATGTGCTCGTTATTGCTAAGAACCTCAGAGAGGACGAAAGCATTGAAGGCAGGCTTGAGGTCCCAAATTCTGAGTTCCTATCAGAACTTACTGAATTATATTTGAGTCCAGAATTGGGCTTGTGCAATAGCGAATACTCTCTTCTGACCCTCCTATCCGTGAGGATTAAATGGCAACTGGCACTTCAAAAGCTGTGAAAACCAATTTTCTGCCAACACAATCCAGGATGTTTGAGAATAATCGAAATCTCAAAGCTGAAGGTTTGCTGATCTTTGCGTTCTGTTCGTATGGAATACTTGCATTCATCCCTTCAATATGAAGGGTATCTGGAAGATGTAACGCGTTTTGGTCGCTGCTAAAATCTATCAAATCAACAGCTTTCGCGTAGATTTAGTGGCAAACACTTCCACCTAGGTTTCCTGATTGCTTAAATTTTAGTGTAAAAGTTTATCTTCTGCCATTCTAAAAAAGTCAGTGAACAGCTGCACACTCAAAAAAAAAACTGCTTTTGAGAGCAACCACATAACATCCTGATACTGTGCTTCAAAGAGTAGATTTCTTTTGACCGAAAACTATGTAAATCAAGTATCTATCATTTTGAAATATAGTCAAGACGCCGTCGATAAAACATTCAGCTCCACATCTAGTTCGAAGCAGTTCCGCTTATTGTCTAAAATTCATAATAATTCAGTTCCCACTGATTAAGACTCGAAAACTAGCTTTCACATCTGACGGATATCTTGAGCCCAGGCCTCAGGCGAACAGCACCTTTAATAGGTAGAGCTAGTGACATATAATGAGAAATGAGCAGCTACAATAGCCCATTGAAGATCACCCATTCAACTTTAAACTCTAGAAGTAGTGCGAATATTCTGCTAGCTCCTAATGGTTCAAGTCTGGTTACTGCATCGTAATTCATATATTCGTAAGGGAGCCCTTTTGAGCAGCATTCTATCATCAAGTTTGAGCCGCTGAACGATTCTTGCTGTGCATCTTCAGCTTCGACTTATTATTAGTTTTAGTGTTCGCACCGGTCATATGCAGCATTTCAACTGCAGAAAGTGCGACAGTGGATGATTCACGTCTGCTTATTTCACCCGCTCCCTCCCACCCATGGTGCCGAGACAGATGCCTGTAGCTTCGGAGATCGGCCACCATTAGACCAAGGCGCTCAGCCGACCGACAGCTGTGCTGGTCACAGGACCGTTCGGTTATGTTCGGCCAGCATCGCCAGACATCGATCGAGGCTCTTTCTCAACCGTTGGCCATCTGCCTTTATCTCTGGTCTCATTTTCTGAGAGGTTAAACGAACGAGAGGTCACTACTCACAGCTATGTTCATTATTTCTTCGTAGCGAAACCTCCTTCACAATTGTTGCAACGTTCTTCTGTTCGTTATTGTGCACCACGTACGCTACGCCAGATCCTTTGGAACATATTATATCAATGTTATTGAAGTTTATTTTCCTAACAAGCTGCATCACTTTTACTAGTGACAAAACGTGGCAGGAGAGCAGTTAGAAATGCGGGAGAGTGACATCAGCACATTACCTAAGCTCTCGTCCTAGAAATCAACCTCCATATTTTGAATTCAGAGTTCTTTTGAGATGTTGCAGATGATTACAGATGATGTCACACATATTTCCGTGAGATCTTGCTTTCAGGAATAATCACTAAAAATTTTTCCAATAAATTTAATTTTTGGTAGCTAATTCGAAAAGAGATACCTCCAGTTATTATCAAGCTATCTGAACAAACCGTAGACGACGTCCCATGGTATCGACTAAAGCGTTCACGGCAATCGTCGGAATGAGGCAGTTTAGAAGGGGTGGGGGGGGGGGGCTTGGAATGAATGCTCGGCATGGTTTTGTTCTGTACTTTTTGTACTTGTAGAGACGGTTGAGCTGCTTGTTATAATCGTAAGCGGGAAAGGCTGTAGTCAGTATCTTCCCTGTTCTTTGCCAGCACCATTCCGGGCCGTGCTAGCGTGGTCGATAGATCAATTCGATACGCGGGCCCGTGGATTCCGGCGCGGCGCTGGCACGGCTCTGGCACGGAGCTGGCAATAGCACAGCTCCAAAACATGAATTCTGTCATTGCTTCATATCTCCGCAAATTTTCGCCATGTAGCATCTATTACTGTGTTTTGAGTGTTACATAATCGGCTGTGCTTCAGGATGAAGTACCTTGTCCTGCTTGCTCTAGCGGCTGCATGCCTTGCTTTTGACAAAGAATCGATGTTAAAGCAGAACAAGATTGGCAAGGAACCGGTAGGCACGTTTGAGGTTACATCAACCTGTGATGAATGTCAGTCGGTAAGAAGCCTTTTTTCAATTGTGAAGCTTCTCTGATGCAAAGCACTATTTTAGTTGGTTCGTCGATTCAGTGATGCTGCGAAGGATCCGGCAAAGTTAGCTGAACTGAAAATGCTGTTGAATGTATTGTGTCACGAAACATCCTACGTTGACGAGTGCCGTATGTTCGTATCAAGGTTGGATGTGATTATCCACAAGCTCGAGCCTTATCTAGTGAGTATTCTAGTTGGGATGAAGTTGCTTTACTATAGGAAAAGATGAAGCAACTATATTAAAAGTGCATTTTGCAACCTGAATACAAATTCTGCTAGTGGATGACAAGTTTTGCGCTGGTTCTAGGAATCTTGCAAAATTAATCCGAAGAAAATTTAAGTCTGACAACGTTATATCTGTTACGATGATAGGTTGGGGCTTGAAGCTTATTTTGGTGCAGCCTATTGAAAACTCGAATTTTATTTTGCAAAAATTATATATATTCAGTCAAAATAAGGAGGGTTAGAACAGTACCGATCACCGCATTAGCTGATTTCTAAAAATAGAACCGTGATTTTGGAAGTTGACTGAATTGAAATCATCATTGTCGATGACTTTGCCTCATACTGTTTCGAAAGTGAAGAAACGACTTAGATACCGATGTGTGATCCGAAACATCCGAAAGGTCGTACTTTCTGTTCGATTTCCGTTCAGCGTTTAGGATGGGAACGAAGTGGAAATTGCCCAATTACTTTTTTAACTCTTTTCTTTGTGTAATGATTTAGATACGACATAATTGCAGCACATAACATCTAAGATTAGTTATAGCTTCGTTTTCAATCTCTCTTATGTACAAATAACACAAGTTACTTTCACAGTCTTCTACTGATAAAGATCACATATGAATTTTTGCTCGCTTTGAGAGATGAGGGCAGGGATTGGAAGATAAATGCTAATCAAGATAAAACTGATCTTTGGTGTTCGGGTAAAAGTCGTAGTGAGAAAGATATAGCAAACCCAGGATACATAGTTCGCCCGTAGTCATCAATGAGCGGACTTTTCAATGAGTGAAGTGAGCTTCACAAGTTTTTTCTACAAAGGAAACATTTTTTCCAGCAATGACTAAGTGGCATCTTGGCCATGAATATTATGAAACAAAGCCAGCTGGTTTCAGAGTACGAAACAGTGCTCTTAGAACAAGTATTAGAAGTTACTTTTAAAGTTTTCCAGTACGCAATATATTATAGATTGCTTTTAAGGCTTTGCTGTTGAGAGGGGGAATGAAAGGATGTAAGCTAATTATGATAAAATTGATCCCTTCGTAATTCGGGGAATATCAAACATTTTGCTCGAGAAACTCTTGCTGATATATTCAAGCATCCTCGCGTAAGTCACTGCTTGACTTGGTCAACTGCTATAACGGAATGTGATAAATTCAATAGTAAAAAATATTGTAAATTCGCGACAGTTTCATTGGTGTTAAGCCTTAGTCTAGAGTCTTTTACGTCCACAAAGGTTGCTTCGTTTGAGAAAAAAAAAACAAAGCAAAATAAAATACCTGATGGTGAGAGACGAAGATTTGGAGAGGGGGGTTCAACTAGGTACCGACAATTTACCCACTATATCTAATTCCTTCTAGAAAGATGCAGAGAAAGTTTGCAAGTCATTCCACATGTGCTCAAACTCTCGTCTTGACGCTTTCCACCGCATTGGACTACTGTACGCAAAGAGATCGATGAACAGAGTCGAAGGATTGGTAAGCGAGTCATATATAATTTGTGATTGGATAGGTCCAAACGTAGATTTGACGGGAAGAAAAAACATTTCAGAAGGATTTCGTCTGCGATGAGTGCCAGTTTGCGGCCAAGGAAATGAAGAATATTGTTGAGGATAAGGAAAAGCAAAAGGCTATTCGTGACTTCTTCTCACAAAACATCTGCAAGCATATGTCCCGTTACCAGGGAATGGTTAGTCTAGTTTGCTTACGACAATCGAAGTAGAAAGAAGATAATTTCAGTGCGACATGCTCGTCGAGCAGTTCCTTCCGGAAATGTTCCAAGAACTTGAAACGTTACTTCAGGACCCCAAAAAAGTAGGAAAACTAATTCGATTTTTTGTCTGCCTTCGCTTCATTATGAATCTGCATTTCAGGCTTGTGCAGATATCGGCTTCTGCCCTCGAATGGGCGCGCCACGAAAACTGGTAGGGTTTGTCGGCTTCCTGTCGCGTCTGTAAAGCAACAAATCTTTTCCCCCTGCTCTCAGTATTCCTTTTGTCCCTTTGTTTCGTGTATTAGTTGGAAATACGTGCTGAGATGGTGCTCATTATCATTCGCTTCTTTTTGTAGTACTGTATGTATGTCAAGAAATAAAGCTCTTGTCAAGTACCTGCTGTTCCTCCTATTGTGCATACATCATTCTCATTCGGCCGCTTCGTCCTACTCTGTTGCCCTGTGGATGTCAAAAATGCGATTTCTGGTTGTAAACCATGGCAGTCGTTAGTTAGCTTTAGACTTCTCCATCTGTGGTGACATCTAACCATCCTGCTTACGCGTTCTTTGAAGCGGCAAAGACGATTCCAACACCAACTGGAAGCATTCTTATGAGCTGTTTGGAGTGCAAAATGGCTGCCGAAGAAACTATTCAGGGATTGATTGCTGACAGGGTTTGTTTTCACTCATTCAAATAAAAAAAAGACAAACTCATTCAAAAAGGCAAACTGATTCAATGATTAGCGTCATTTGTTGTCGTGGCGTTGTAAATAGAACAATGTAAGAGTTAAACTGTTCTTATCTTGTTCCCAAAGGGAAATTCAAACTTAAGGGAAACATATAGGAAGTACTTTATAATGAAGAAAAAAATCACGGGGTGCGATCATGATTGTTGCTTGAGCTGCTTCGTCCAGAGTCGCCTGTGCCAGCGCCGTGCTAGCACCGTGCCGTAACTGCACCGGCAAGGTCGATCGGTGGATATGTGCGCCAATGATGATTCCGGCACAACGATAGTATTCTAAAGGCGCACACGGGCAACTTTGGTAGGCGTCATGCTTATCCAGTTCAACTCGTCATGCGGTTCACCCATTCGCTGCTAGTCAGTTCAGTGATCTGACCAATGGCAAAGAGGGTGAACAAAATGCACCGGTTGAGCTGTTTAAAGGCAGTGTCCGGGCAAAAACTCGATTTTGAGATTTTGTGCTTATACGGGCCTATTCGCCATGCTGAATGCGAAAATCCACACTGGAAAGCGCAAAAACGGCGAAAAGAAGTGGCTTTAACACAGGAGGGAAATCAGCAGGTGGGCGGGGCTTTCCCCAGTGCGATTTCACGCTCCCAGCTCCCGGAGCGATTTTCTCGATTCCGCTAGCCGTCCTAACATCGCTACCGGCCAAGTACGAATGATTGACTTGAAACCGGAAGCGAGAAGGTCGCTCCGGAAGCCGGGAACGTGAATGCTAAGTGGGGAGGATCCCGCCCACCTGCTCATTTCCCTCCTGTGTTAGAGCCGTTTTTCGCCATTTTAGCGCTCTTAAATGTGCATTTTCGGATTCAGCGTAGCGAATAGGCCCAAGTAAGCACAAAATCTCAAAATCGAGTTTTTGCCCGGACACTGCCTTTAAGTTTGGCGCCTGCCTTTAGACATAGCTCTAACACATTTATGGCATTGGTGAGATTATGTTTACGGCAATGCTTGGACCGTAAAAAATTACAACATGATATAGTGCTATCACGCCAATAAGGAATGCACCCTCTCAGCGGATCTAGCTGCCAATCCATTTTTTGCTAGAAAAACATTGCCGGAGGAATCCAAGAATTTGCTTGTCACGACTTCCTTGGGTCCAACTTCACAGCCAGCTGCGACGACTTCCTCTCACTGTACCTGCCGACCGTCCTCTACATGACATTCGAACAGTTCACGCCTGACGAGGTGTGCGTAAAAACGAAGGCGTGTGATTCAGTCTCCGGTAAGCTCTACTGTCCAGCTACTGCTTTCGCCATAGTAATCTTTTGACAGTGTCTCGTATGTCTCAACTGACAAAGCAGCAAAGGCATAATTTGAAATGCAGGACCTGCTCTGGTATGCAGGAATTTTTCAAGGTACGCTGATAATCGTGTCTTGAGCTGACTAGATTCACTGGAAATTTCCAGTCTGCTAATGAACTACCCCAAACGGCTGGTTTTCAAAAGTTCGTCATTGGAGAACTAAAAAGAACCGCATGTGATTACCTGGGAGATTTTTCAACACTCGTAAGGAAGCATAGATTATTAGACTATGAAAAAAGCCCTTTTTTGCAGTGCGATCAGTTTGTGGACGCTGTCATTCCAAAGTTTTTCGAGAAGTTTTTCGATATTTACAAGTCCGAGGCTGTCTGTTCGAAAGTCAGTGTTGGCAAATTGAACTTATTTTTTCACAGGTGTGATTTCAGATTCATCCTGAATGCTAATATTGGAGCAGATCGCATCTAGTCTACACAAGACGTACCAGTAAAATACACATATCGAAGCCTTTTTTTATACATGTCTATGTATAAAAAATCTATATCCTGGTTCCGAACATCTAAAGCCGTATACAGATACGAGAAAATTATCAACGCCGAATGCGTGCAAGATGAGCACTCAAAAAATGATATAGTCGGTTTCCATGGTCCTTCACTCGAGGCTTATGAGCATTAACCAATTCTAGCCAAAAGGAAATCTTTGTGATATTCGTCGACAAAAATTGTGTGCAATCTTCAAGGACAGTGCTTCTGACATTCTGACATTGAAAAACTCATAGGATCACACAGCAAATTTTCGACTGCAACTATCAAAGAGGGAAAATTTAGGGATTTTCAGCAAGAGAATCATCAACATTTGACCAAAGCCATATGTATCCCGCATACTGAAAGTCCGTAAAAATCATGGGTACAGATGTGCGAAGAAACCAAAAGAAATTGACTTCAGACCAGGTTGGTTATTGACTTTATCAAACGAATAAAAGACGTTTATCTTGAAGTTTTGTAGAGGGATAGCCTTGAATGGAGTAACTAGTATGTTTCTATAGTTTTCAAATTTATTTTGAGGACCACTGATAACCCTTTGACATTCGCAAACTTGTTTGCGGCATTTCGGAAAGACTACTTACACTGAATACTCTGCGACTTGGTAGTGCAAGTCCTCTACACGTGGACAAATGGTTGTTTGATGTGTTTTGAATTATTTCTACTACAGATTCATACTTTTGCCCTCCTCATGCTACTACATTGGGAAGTGAAAAATTGTTTTTATGGTAAAGCAACAAGAATGCATAAGGTGTACTATTCGACTGAGCAAAGCATATGCAAAAAAACTTCTAAAATTTGCATAAGTTGTGATCAGCGCAACTTCTGAAGCCAAATCCTACGAACCATTCACCACGCCAAAAGGGATCTTTGCCCAAACCTAATAAAAATTTCTTACTTGCTCCTGCGTGTAGCAAACACAGAGTTCATTCATACCACTTGCTTAATTTTTTATGATTAGAAATCAAGAAAACCTAACATTCCTAAATTATTCCATATGTAACTTATACCACAAACCTCTGGAACTTCAGTAATAAAATTTTGGCCATGTAACATGCTCTAAAGGAAAATATCAATTTTTACCGAAATAACTTTAAAGGGACATTCCTTTTTTCAACATAGAACCAGTTTAATCTTGTAGGTACATATGACAAATTTGTATGGTGTAGAAGATAATTACAGTATTTAAGAAGATTTGAGATCAAAACTAGCGTTGGTTTCAATGTGGAATCCCGCATTGATTTTGATGCATTGGTAGTTAGGAATGTATTTAAGGTGGACCGCCGAAAGAGTAGTTTCACTAAAAAAAAGTACCCAAAGGAGCATTTTTCAGATTTATTGCACATTTTCCTTTCACTGATGTCGCTGATGGCCTAAGATCAGTAACTGTTGTCAAGCCATCGCCTTCTGCTTGATGTTCCTGATATCGTGCAACTTCTCTAAAGGAACCAGACGAGGGAGGAAAAGCAGCCACAAAGCTAGTGTAGAAACCAGTTGAGCAAGTTCAAGCTGCCAAACCCCCTTCGGTCCAAAATGCGAGTAGACCAGGCTAGAACACGGCTTTCGCATAGTGCATTTTGTGAGATATTTCTCGGGACTTACTTGAGTAACACAGGTGCTGCCATTCGAGCCACTGACCCAGACATTTGAAAGATGCCTTGCATGGTGCCCTGAGAAAAAATAAGATTTTTCATATGCCTTTCGAATTGAAAATTCTCGTACTTGTCGTCTTGGGCCAATGACTTTCGAGAAAAGTGTCGAGAGAACTACGTTGCTTACGGCGTATGTGACCTCAAAGACCAAACAAAGTGAGCCGTAGTAGAGCCATTTGTCAACTTTGGGAGTGGTTGAGCACCAATCAAATCTTTCAGAATCGCAACCTCCTTCGAGTGAGTCTAAAGCAGAATCTCGGAACCTTTTATATTTGTAGATTTTTTCGTTGAAACTAGACGAAAAAGTCTGAATCTGACTAATTTTCTTCCAAGGTAATTATTAGCCAAGACTATCTCATGTAGGTAATGCTAGAATGCGTGTCCACTATGTCCAGGTTGCTCTGTGCCTAACCATCGCCATGATCTCCGTGCCAGCGCAGTGCCAGAACCCTGCCGGAGCCCATTTGCACCGTCCTGTGCTAATAGTATGATATGGCCCCAGCACGGCGCCAGCACGGTGCCATAACGCTGGAACGGACAACTCAACATGCAGCTTTAAGATGTAAAAGGAGTTAGGTATAATCTAAGGGAAGGTTAATGTATCGACCTTTCTTACCTTGCTGATTGATGGTAACGCGCTGGCCAAAATCCCATGGATAAGTAATTAAATGAAATGCAATGAAGCCAAGCATACAAGCGATGTTCACGGTACGCTGCTTCAGCCTGAAGTAGCAAAACTTACACGGTCAAGGCTTTCCACCACTCTTACTCTACCTTTTTCCAACATCCAAGAAGAGAAATGGAAGAAGAATGACTGCTGCTGCTATTCCTTGCACTGCCTGTGATACGGCATTCACTTTGACTGCTTCTGGTGCAGAGAAGTCAAACATGAGCATGGAGTAGGGAGAACCAAGTCTGAAATGAGTGGATTTATAAAGTGGTGTAACTAACGCAGGCAATGAAGCTTTGCCCGTTGCGGCGACATGCGCATGCAACGCCTGCAATGCCTCTGAGTTGTAGCTCAAGTACAAACGAAGCAATGGCCGTAGCTGAAAGACTTCCCGCGTGTTAAACTTACAGTGCTGAGAAAATGAAGAAAAAACCGGTAGCTAATCGATTTTTTGTCTGTATAAGTTGCAAAAGGCTTTGTAAACCTGATTGCAATAAATAGTCAAAAAAAACCCACGTCTCAATATTCGCTGCAACAGATAATTGTGTGAAACGTGTTACTATACACACTGCTACGGCAATGAAATCGGCGGGCGGAAGCGGAGTGGTCTAAAATTTCAAGCTTTACTACTATGCAACAACCAGGATAGAAACCGACTTGTTTCCCTTCATGGAGCCCAGCATATTGCTCGTCAAATGCGAAGTACATCAACAGCATACCGCAGATATTCATAATTAATGCGAACAGCGCCGGCGCCTTGTACATATTCAACGAGTACCCAAACGCGATGTGAATGCCAGCACCGCCCAATGGTGTGAACAAAGCTTGTAAACCTGTAAAATTATCGTATATTTGTCAGCAACTCATAGTCGTTCCATAAGTTCGTAGCGTTTTTATTTTTGCCGTCGTTTTCTGGTGAAGCAGTAAGTTTACCGCAAAATGTGTGTACCCTCCGAAAGAGCCAATTCTACTCTACAAGAATTGCGTTTTATTCTCAAAGTAAATCTGATGACCTTTGTTTTGTGAGTGCTCAAAGCAGCGTTTTGTGTAACAAAAAATGGCGCTTTCGGCATCTCTATCTTCGGCTCTATATACGGAAATTAGGAGAGGAAAATTTCTACTCGAAATTGTTATGAGTGATGAAGAATACTGTTTGCCGGACTATGGTGCACATAGAACAAGAATCCTTGTCAAGGGAGACGCTATAGAGAATGATAGAGCGCACTTTTACGGTATGTGTAGATATTTTGCGTTTGCCCAGAATGAGGAAGTTTTCTGAGCCAAAATTTTTCGGGAAAGCGTAAAGTCGCTGGTAAACAATTGCATTCAAATTTTTGCACCACCTAGACAAGGCTGTTCGTTGCTCAAGGCTTGATAGCAGGACGAGAACATTCTGTTACGAAACGACGCGTAAAACTCAAGCTGCAGCAGTCGAAGACAGCAACTTTTGAGACTTCGTTCAAACAGTTCTTAGCATATTGGTTGGACACCATTGTGTCAGCACATCAACGGCTTGCTACTTGCTATTCCGACTATACATACAGAGGAATATTCGCGGGATATGGACGAAATGCGAAAAGCACAGGTGCCGAAGTGGCCATTTTCTGCCACTCAAAAAACTTTGCTTTGAGAAATTATAAACCAAGGGTCGTCAGTATTGCTTCAAAAACAACAAGCAGGTTTTGTAGAAAAAACTTGGCTGTTTCGATTAATACCAGATAATTTGCCGTAAACCAACTGCTTCACCAGAAAACGACGACGAAAATGAAAACGCTACGATTTTATGGGACGACCTAGTATATTCCTTGTTAACCATGAATGCAGCGACAGCAGTATGGGATGAAAACAGTATTTCTGCAAAAAAAAGCGCTTAGGCACTCCCACAGCTAACCGCGTGCCAGCGCCGTGTTAGCGCCGTGTCAGCGTCCAGGTAGACGCGCGAGTATTGATCGATTGCGCTAGCACGTCGTGGACACAGCCTCAGAGATTCGCTCAGTGGGGATGTCTCTTCAACCAAAGACATCCCATGCGAAGCGCGTTCGCTATGGAGGAAATTACTCTAAAGCGCCTTCATTTTGCAACCAAAGCCTGGAAAGATGAGAAGACGCAGAATACGAGTTCCTTACGATATGGTAAAATTTTGTGCGATACACTTGCGAAGCGTATCCGTTTTGTCCCAATTTATCGACCCAGACGGATTGAAACAACTGTATATAATTTAAAAAATGATAGATGGTCATCTCAACCCTAATCGTTTTATAAACAGCTTTTGTAATGCTTCTAATGCAGAATCGCGAGAATGGATTTTGATTGCCGCAAACGTTTTCTTGTCGAGAACTCTTTTGATTCTCTGCAGTGCAAAGGTCTGGCAATGCAGCCGCTATGAGTTCAGAGGACGAAAGCAAGGTACCCCAGCGGTCCGTTTTTAATTTGCAGTTTGGGCAGAGACATTGTCCCTTCATTGGTGCATTACCGATGCTACCACATTATTCCAAAGTCGTGACGAGACCTTGAGTGGTGGAGGGCTTGGAAGGCAACATAATTTCCCTTACAGTAATTATAAGCAGCACTTACCAGGCCCAATAACTAGTCCGACAGCTGTTCCAGCAGCCACACACCCTATAGCTCGTGATCTATCCGTGGACGTTGAAGTCGTTGAAGCGTAAGATCGAAGTAGCACGGAGTTACCTTCAAGGGCGAAAATACGGACTGGAGTAACGACTCTACGTATTATCGATTGGAAGCTTGTAATAGGTAACCGAACAAGAGGAAATCACGAGGTTTATGCGAATAATGTATGCTTTTGTGATGTTTTTGTTGGAGTTACCCCAAAACCGGACATATACGGGAGATAATTCTATTCCGACTTATCCGACAAGATTTTGAGGTGGTAGTGAAGAGGTAAGACTTATCTCTAGGTGGACCTCAACCGAAGACGTACAATACCGCTCATATGATCTGTGCAGAGTGTCCCAAAAATGTTAACACTGTTTGATCGTTAATAACTCCTTTGCTTTCATGTCTTTCGCCGAACTTTGGGCACCATTCTATAGAGCGAGGTTCAACTTAGATTTATAGTAGGGAGCGAACCATCGTTCGCTCTTCGTTACTGTAAGATTACGGTAGGAATTTCGACAAGGATTTTAGCTCGTTTAAGGCCATTTTCTGCCTCGAAACAGAGCCAAACAAGCCGAAATCTCTTGTACTATCGTAATGGAAGCTGCTGACTTCGAATATGAAATTCCCACTTCATTATGATGCTTCTTTTCAAAGTTATCCTAGGTAACTGACTTCCCAGCATGTGTCAGAAATATGGTTACACCGTCAAAAAAGCTGAAAACACTCGTAGAAAGTTCTGTAGTGGAATCAGCGTGCGCGAAAACCCTAGTACACGATTTTTCGATTTTTTGAAAAAAATTTTGTCAGATGGCATGTTTCACAACCATACCCTCGATACATAGAGCCACGTACTCCGATAACCTTCACTTTGAGGGCTATGAGGGGATACAACCTTCACCTGGAAAAAAACAGAAGTCATCCGGGGCTTCGCCCCGGATGTTATCATCCTGGCTACGTTGAAAGGAAGGTTTCTGTGAAATTTTCGCCAGAATTCAAGACGAAATTTCTCTGTTAACCTCTCATTTGACCAAAATTGAGTATCAGAAGTTTAGGAAAGCTGTTGGAGTTATATTAAAAGAGAAACTGCGCTTAAATCTTGCGCAAAGAGTCGCGCACGAAAACGCTGGTCTATCTCGTTAATGAGTAATTTTTGAAGATTGGGACGTTGTCAGTTCTCCTCGTCGTGTCATGACGATCAGAATGATATATAATGTTGCAGAGTTTCGTTGAGATCCCGCAGAGATCTATGACCAGAGCCAAATGCCCCGTCGGCTCTGGTCTGGCTCCGCTGCTCGTCTGCGTCTCCGCGCGCTGCGCGCTACCTCGCTACCCCAAACGCGGGGCGCGGGGCATTTGGCTCTGGTACCCTTTTCTCCGCTATTTCGAACCCAATTTTCACAAGCTATATATCATTTTGAAGCTCTTGATCTCTATTTTCACTCTGACAACGTCCCAGAACCAAATTCTTTGATTTGATCGAGAAATCCGGCAAAAACCTTGTTTTTGAAAATCTCTTGTTTTTCTTCTAGTTTAACTCTTTTCACGCGGTTTTTTCGTGCATTCTATAGATCTTGCTTCTGCTCATAATGCAGACAACCACCCAGCCCTTACCTCTTCGACTATGGTAGAATTTTTTGTGAAAAACCCTAAAAAGTGCGTTTTTCTTTACCTTGTTCTGTTTCAGTACTTTCGCAGCGATTTTTTTTTCCAGCTTGAGCGATTGTTGCTCAGAACAATAGGCGCAACGATCCAGACAACGTCCCAGGAAACAGGAACGTCAACGCGGGGGTAAAAATTTAGAGGACGCATCAAAAATCAAAACCCCGTGTTGCGAATTGCTGGTCCTGGAGCGAAAACTTGCACCTTGAAAAGCCGCCAATTGAAAGATTTCAAACCTTTTCGCAGCATTTTTTATCCGGTTTTCAGCCGTTTCTTTTGCTTTTATATCCGTTTTATGTCATTTTCTCATCTCTGATCTTCTTTGGACAACCTTCACTATTTATGACGTCAGATGTTCAAACAACCTTCACTTTTGACGCCCTGTCTCTAGACTATCGAAGGTATGTTCACAACGGTTCCAAATGCTGGAAGTTCTTACCGTAATCCTACAGAAACGAAGAGCGAATGGTGACTTGCTCCATACTATTAACCTAAGCTAAACCTCGCTCTACAGAAAAGTGCCTCAAGCTTGGCGAAAGACCTAAAAGCAAGGGAGTTATTAACGATCAAACAGTGTTAACATTTTTTGGGACACCCTATATTGCATTTTGGGCACTAAGTTAAACGTTAAGGCAGTCATGAAATTTATGACTTCCTTCCTATATCATGTGATATTATGCTCACAAAAAAAGAACCACGATTGCTCACTTTTATACGCAATAATACGGGGTGCCAAAAATTACGACTTGAACCAAAAAAATACGCACTTGAACCTATTCCTACTAAGGCTCTGGAAATGGCCATGGCATATCCGTAGCCATGAGGTAGAAAATCCATGAACAAATATATGAGATTTCCGAATAACATCATATTAAAACCAAATATTGTCGGTGCACGCACCTGGAATGAACAAGGCAAGAAGATTCGAGCAAATAAGCGGTTCGCGCACCTGCTTGATACGGTTACTCCAGTATCCAAACGCTGGAGAAGCGATGCATTGACCAAGACTGTATATGGCAACGACATAGCCAAAAAAGGTCTCGCTGACTGTTGGATCGAGCTGCAAAGCGGCCGAAATGGAATACTTCGAGGGAAAAGAGCAGAATATCGATAACTCACACTTTTGAGGTACGGCCATAGAGAGGAGAAGAACAGACCGTATTGTATTGCTTGCACGAATGAACATAGGGCAGCGACGTAGACCGATCGCCACGGAGTACTACAGTATACCGCGATTACTGTATTCATTCGAACATTTTGAAGACCACGGGCTCTATCCGCATTACCTTTCAGTGTTCATGGTTTTCAACTTCTCTGATTTTGCTGCTGTATCGAAATCGCCTACTTGCTGTGTTTGCCCCCTGTTGACATTCTATGAATACAAAGCTATCTTAGGGTCTCGTTTGGATTAACGATTCTCTTAATTTGACTTAATTATGTGATGCAACAATATGAGCCGTAGCATATAAGTGAATCTTCGTTCTACAGAATATAATGGCATGGATTATGAGAAATGACAAGAATGTTAACGAATCACGTAAGTTTACGATAATCTCATGAAAACACAAAAAATGTGGCAGTATTTTTGATCCATAGTCCAACTGGTTAGTTAGCAGTCATAATCTTCAACACGTACAAAACCTCCAGATCTAGTTTTTGTATGTTTTTGTTTTTTGTTATTTCCCCGGTGTCTGATCAACCGTAATCGCCATTATTCCGTCTGAGAGTTCAGAGCTGTACACTATGAATTCGAAGATAGATTGTTCCATAGTTCACAGTGAGCGCTGCGAGATTGCTCAGCAATCTAAATACCAAGAAATAAGCAATAATGTACTTTCTATTTTTGTCCTATTCTTTACGCCTCTCAATCTGAAAAAAAACTATCACTTCAGTAGGTGAAGCGATGATTTATATAATTCACGAAAAGTCAACCGGATGCAAATGAATAGGACTCTCTATCACATGAGAAGTATTTGTTTTCAACGCAAATTATGTTTTTGTCAAGGGGAGCCATAATATTTACACGAGAAGCATTTCGGCATAGAATCTGTCTGGGATAACAGAACTACGTTGGATAAAGCAAGTCTGCAAAAATCTTTCGAATTGAATTTTTGCAGTTTGTAACGACTTGCAGACGTTCGAAACTGCAACAAAATGACGATACTGTTGGAAAAAAGAAACGAAGCTAGTAAATAGTGATTTTTACTAGTTAGCAACCGATGGTTTGAGCTTGAATGACCAGCGGCAACATCGGCGAGATCTGTGGTATATAATGACGTGGTAACACTCTAGATGTGTTAAGACTCTGGTGTATTGTCATTTTTGAAGTTTTTTAGATTCTAAGAATAATGAGGGGTTTACTCATGTAGGGTGGAGGACATTAGGTCGCCGAATTTGGAAGAGTCCCGCGCGGATTCCCTGCAGGAACGCATGTCCGCGCATGTACAAGGGTGCATATTTGTCGCAAATGACCGCGGGGACCGCCCTTTTTCGGCGACCTAATGTCCTCCACCCACTCATGTATAATACTTGCCGCTAAATATTACGTTGGCGCATCAAAAACGTTTTAATCTACATCACGTATTTTTTGTAATAAATAAAGATTGTCTTATTTGACCATATACGCTGGAGGTCTTGTTCGACACAAGTACAAAATGTCAAGTAGACAAACTAGAGAAACATGTTAGTAGAAGTTTCCGATCAGCAGAAACTTTTCTCAATTACAGAGCAAGTGGTAAAGCCAGAATCAAAAATAAAACAAGGTCTCATTGGAATTTTAGCGCTTTAGCAATCAGACATAATACGCCGATATTGACCTTTGTCTCGATTATCTGAATTGACGATTCCATATCTTCAAGCTACACTGATCGGACAAAATCGTTAAAAGCATTAAAAGTCATTATCTTCAAGCAAACTCAATGCCGGATTTTTTTTGTAGCTGTTCTTCAAAAACGTTCGTTTTATGACATAAGAATTCGGTCAGAAATAGTGTCAAGTCTAACGAGTTAATTACTCTCGGGACTTGATCCCTCTACCCTGTTGTATTGCATCTTAACAAAAGAATTCTTGACTAGATGATTTTATCATTATAACATATATATCAAAATATGGGGGACATTAATGGGGAGGGGACCACCGAGCACCCGGGGAGTGCCAGCTCATCTGGAGATTCTGGGCACCGCCCAGTTGACGTGGAGACTGTCGGACCATCTAATTACTCTGCGTCTCGACAATAGCGTCTCTGCCTCAATTCAAAAGATCACACTTGCTTGAAGCTTGCATTTTATAATATTATTTTGGTGCAAAAGTTGTGTCGTTTCATTTTTGAAAAATCATAACTTTGCGCTCTCTCAATGGATTTGATTCATTGTATTTTTATTAGAAAGGGCAAATCTTTCGCTTCCAAATACTGCTTTGCCGAGCCCCTGCTACGCACTGAATGCAGAGATAAAAATAGACAAAGAAGACCACTTTGCTCACTAAACTTTGCTCATTTCAAGTTAGGTCACCAAAAATCTGGAAAGCTGCAAAAAAACTGTAATCGTCAGTACATATGTTTTTTGGCCTACTCTCTACATCAGAGCAAAAATTCTGCTGTTTGGACGTTTCTGTGAAAAGTTACGGATTTCGATTTTATTACAGAAAATGCCAAAATTAATTAATTTGTCAATTTTCGCGAAAATCATAACTTTTCACAGAGACGTCCAAACAGCACAATTTTTTCTCTGATGTAAAGAGTAGGCCAAAAAACATATGTACTAACGATTTCAGATTTTTTTTGCAGCTTTCCAGATTTTTGGTGACCTAACTTAAAATGAGCAAAGTTTATGTGGTCTTCTTTGTCTATTTTTATCTCTGCATTCAGTGCGTAGCAGGGGCTCGGCAAAGCAGTATTTGGAAGCGAAAGATTTGTCCTTTCTAATAAAAATACAATGATTCAAATCCATTGAGAGAGCGCAAAGTTATGATTTTTCAAAAATGAAACGACAGAACTTTTGCACCAACCTAATATTAACCATTCAGTGACGATAAGTTACAATACCTTTCAAATGATAGTAGCCGGACTCGGTGGCTTATTGCACAAGTTTGCTAGTAGGAGAGAGTCAGACTTGCCAAATTCGTAATTTATCTTCAAGGCAGAAAATAGGCAAAGTATTTTTTCATTGTCCTAAAGCAAATCAATTGCTCTTGTGCAGCACTGCGAGTCTGAAGGAGTATTATCGCAAGGAGTGCAAACTTCAACATTTCGAGATTGTAAAAAGCTTGATGAAAATAGGATAAACAGTTTGATGAGAATAAGAAATCGGATGCGGACAAGTACTTAATTCTCAGCATGTCTGAGGGAGAAAATAGAGAGTTAAGATTTAGCTACACTGTTTACTACACCACATCGGAACGATAGTTAGCAGAAATAGTCGTTGGTCCAGCGGCGGTCTGCTTTGGAACTTGTTTCGGTTAAGCATCAGCAGTAGTAATGTTCATGATCATTTCGATAACAAATAGAAAGATATTGTTATTTAGTATCATCTTCTCGTCACATTCATCTGCTGCCGAAGTCTAATCAGGCAGGTATAGCCATTATCAGCTACAATCTCGCTATTCGGATACACGTTCGTATATCCTTCGCTCGTCCATAGTTGTTTTCGCTTGGACGACTCGATCGCAGCCGGCTAAAAGTTGGCCTGGGTGTAAACATCACGCGTAGGCAGCGGACGAAAACTCACTTCACTTTCCTATTGCGTGGCATTCCAACAGTGAGTCATATGTTGTAAATAAGGTTGAGTGTTCTTCCAGCATTGCTTCCTGTTTTTTGTGGTTGTTGTTGTTTTCTCACCCTCAAGGTGTTACAACATGAAAGCGTCTAGGCGCGATGAAATAAAGATGATGGAAGCGAATCGGTGATCAGTGAGTCGCGACATTGAGAAATGAGGTGGGAGCTAGAGTCCAAAATAGTGGAAACTTTTCATCGATTATCTAAAGTAATTAGCAGCTCGGATAGAATAACAATAGGCAAATAATTCAAGGTATTTAGCATAACTCTCCCTTCACTCAGCATCTGTGCTGTTTTCTTTCATGATCGCTCAAATAATTAGTTGAATTGTGGAGCGATTGTTCTTGCTTTTGTGGAGGCTACAATTTAAGTTTTTTTTCAGAATTTTGAAGGCGGATTTATAGTGTTCACATACAACCATTTTGTTTTTCTTACAAATCTTTGTCTTCTTCAATGGTCCTGTCGGAACGTTCAAACTTTCCTCAGCAATCTTGTTCTTTTTTTCGCAAAACGGAGCAAAGCATTTTGCATCAAACTCTGGAAACCTTTAAAATGTGAAGGGTTTGAAACTCGATTATTAGTAAACTTATTGGCAAAATAAAGGAGGGGAGACGGTCAAGAGGCGCGATTTTCCCGGCTGTCACCAACTTAAAATTCCAGTTTAATGCTATGCGAGTCTTTGAAAAATACCGAATAAAGTGCATTGGCTTACTATCTGTCCGAGGTCACCACTTGCTGAGTTTCATTGCTTTTGCTATAAATCGGACGAAAATATTCACGAATTTGATCTGAAATGCTTTTTTATGAGTTTTTGACCTTCAAAATTGCTGTTTTGAATTTTTTCTAGAGTATCAAGATTGAACAACTCATGCAACTATCTAATATATCTTCCTCCAAATTTCATATATTTTTAGAAAGTTGCAGAACACTTATTATGTGCTACCTGGTATCTAGCTGGCAATAAAAATCGCACCTCTTGACATACACCCATAGAGGAGCAGGGCTGCACGAGCTGGAACCGTAGAGGTTTTGAAAAGAACCCTCATTGAATCTGCAGAAATTTTACGAAAGCTTCTCATACCTCTTTACTTGGGGCTTATACCCTTCGTCTTGTGCGGGACTGCGACTCAACCTAGAATAAAGCCCAAAAGAAGCCCGAAGACAGAAAGACAAAAAAACCTGGAAGGTAAACTCTTATAATACCTGCTGGTAAGAGAAAGACAATCTGCTCTGTTGTTGTTTAGAGTTGCCTGTTTACTGCCTTTGTAAAATGAAACAAACAAAACCCCTCGAAGAGAACATGTGGCACTAAAATCACAGCATCGCCACTGTCTACACTAATTTGAAGAGTAGCTCTATGAGCTGGTTCTTGATTAGATTGTTTTCGGATTTTGAGCAAGTCAGACGAGGTGTTTGTCGTTTCTTAAGTGACAGTCTCCTCATCACTCTTTGATCTAATCAAAACTGATTCGAGTCGCTGTATAAAAGTGATGATGTCGCATTTCCTCATTCTTAACATCTCATTCAACTTCAATATTATTTCAACAACCATGATCTTTATTAAGTCTAGACTTACTTCAAATACAGAGATGGGCGAAAAAGTGGGGGTGAGAGAGGGAAGGGGTGAATCTGTCTTCTGGGTTATGCCGAATTTGCTACCAGTTGTGAGAAGCCATTCCCATCACGCATTATAAATTCATATAATTGTTCGTAATGTATCTGGTACACAATTGTCATTACTGTATTCGTTTGTCTCAGTTCAGCAGAGTCTCCGACAGTTCGACCTCTTCACAAATTGAAAAATGCCCTCAGAGGTCATGGTGAGTTGGCATTTTTCTCGATGCTTTTGGTTAATGCTAGGGTTGCCGATAGCGCAGGGTTAGCGCCGACAGCGCCGCTGGTCGATCAATACCGGAGCGTTCACGTTTGCGCTGGCACGGCGCTGGCACAGCGCTGGCACTCGCAGTGTGGACCAGCTAACCATCTAGATACATCAGCAGGGGGCTGAAGCCAGGGATTTGCAAAAGAGTTTTTGTAGGAATTCTTCAAATCTCACAGTGGAATGGATCTTCGACGCAGAATACTTGCGCTTTGTGCAAATGTTCTGGGTGAAGATTGGGCGAATGTAAAAGCGCGCAATGTCAACGTCGTGCGAATGCGGTACGGCTGAGCAGGGATCCAAAAGCACAAAGCATTACTTTCAAAGTTTTCTCTTTGCAGAGGCCTAACAAACCTTGTTTACATCGTTTCTCGTGAAAGGCTGTCGCCGGAAGATAAAAATGATGCCGTGGTGCTTCGAATACAGTCTCAAACAGATTACGAGAAATTGATCAATGAGCTAGTGGTTCTCATGACTTTGGCAGGTGATTGATACCTCTTTTCACCTTTTTTTTCTTCGCATGTAGCAAATATTTCTAGAGAGTGGTCTTGGACCAAAGCTGCTTGGCGTTTTTCCTGGCGGGCGATTTGAGCAGTACATACCGAGCAGACATCTCCAGCATCATGAAGTGACAGACTCAAGGTGAGTATTCTGAAGCCGTTCGAGGAATTCTCCGATTTCACTCAGTAATAAGCGCGTCTGAACATTTTTATAGAACAAACATCGGTCTACCATAAAATGCAGAGGCAGTCCCAAAGGCGGGGAAGAGGGGTGGGGAGGGGGGAGAAAGGGACAAAAATCTTTTCGTTGAAGGTGCGTGGCGTTAGCCAAGCACCCGGCAAGTTTTTTTGGGATACTTCACGAAATTTTTAGCAAAATGCTAAATTGTTTAGAAAAATGAAAAATTTGTTTCGATTTTTTGCAAGTAAAAACAGGTTATTTATACATTTCAATTGACTCCTGTAAGTGACTTTCAAAAATTTCGCGACCCTTCTCGGATCAAAAATTCCGCGACCCTTCTCGGAAGGAGGTCGACTAGAACTCTACGGCTTGATTGCGCAATGTCTGAAAATAATGAGAACTAAGGCTATTCTATTCTAGAAATTGTGTTCTGCTAGCCCGTCTCCTCCCACGATTCCACTCAGCCACCGTACCTGTATCCAAACAGCCTAGCCTACTCCACATGATGCGTGAATGGTTAGCGCTCTTCGGGAAGCAAGGCACTTCTTCAATCCAGATGGAGACTACGTCGTTCCAGTTGCCTGCCAACACGGTGATTCACTTTTGAGATAGCATGCAACATACTGTAAGAAGTCTTAAAAACTAACAGCTCTAAACATTTCGAGGAACATGGTGTAGGTCATATTTAAAAGATGTGATTAGTGGAGAAATGCAAGCTCTTTCTGTCGAACTAGCACATTCGCTTTCCATGAACGCCATGCCACCACATATCATTTAATAGAATTGAGTCACTGCTGCACTAACGACAACATTTGCGCGGGAACAAATGACTTGCATGTGAATGCTGGCAATCCGCCCACGTACTTGTGACTTGCGCGTGAAAATGGTTCAGGCATATTGGCCTTAGCGCAAATAATGTCGACAACGCAAGAATACTATTGATTGACTGATTAGACTGTACATGCATGCACGCAACGCTGTGTAGTATACAACAAAAGAGTGGAGGAAGGTGGTTGGCAAGCTTGGCTACTTTTCCAGCCTGTAGAAAATGAACACAGGGCGAAAACCTGGAATGATTTATCGCTGGAATGCCAACATGCGCAGTATTCAATCTTCAGATCTACCAAACTGTGCAAACACACAAGTGATTTATCTAAATGCGTTGATGAAAACATTCAAGCACGTAAAGTCAAGAACTTCGTTCCATGATATAGGTCGTCCGCGCTGGGCGCGGAGAGTGCGCAAGGTGTGTATTGCGCGTCACTCCTCTTTCCCCGTGCACTCTCGCCGCCTTATTTTCTCTGCGCCCGTACTATCTTCACTGTACGCGACAGCGTTGCTCTCCGCGCGCAGCGCGGACGGCCTATAATATTTTCATTGGTATACAATACCGCATTGCCCGAAACGTTTCGAATGAATCGATCAAAATGATGCCACGATTCACAAACTCTGCTCTAAACCTCAAGTCTTGTTTTCAGTTCCCATCTACACTTTCCCTCGATGACATTGCTCGGGAAATCGATCTCGTGGAAGAATTTCTTTCCACCTCCACCTCTCCCATCGTCTTTTGCCACAATGATCTAACGGTTAGTTGTTTCATGCATGAAAACATGAGAAAGGAATAAGACGTGGACGGCTTAACCTTTAGAAGGCTTTTTAGCGTGCCTTGGAATTTTTTCGTGCCTTATGACTTAGCATCGAACATGGGCTGTAGCCAAATCCCGAATTTTGATTTTGATTTTTGAGAAGTGCAAAAATTGTTTACGAGTGAAGACAATTTACTTTCACAGTTTTAATACGTGCGGGCTACCTTCAAAAATTTCACAACTCCTTCTCGGGTAGGGGGGGGGGGGGGAAGCGAAGAGCATAAAGCCTCTCTACCTTTATCTGGCAGTTATGTTCTCAGGCAACAAGGTCAGTGAAATTGCCTGCATATTGTTATGCTGCCATACACAAACATTAACGCCCAGTCCAACTTTACAAATCTGCTAGTACAGGGCTCCTAAATTGCAGAGTCGTTTGCACCAGTGGTCGCGCGACCGCGCCGCGTCCGGGCATTTTGCCGGCGCCGGCGCCATCGATCGAGGCGACGCCATTGATGCCTGGGCGCGATGCGGTCGCGCGACCGCTGGTGCAAACGACTCTGCAATTTAGGAGCCCTGTACATCTTTCTCGAGACACTGAGACTGCGGAGATTGTTTAGCCAAAAAAACCCCCGAATATCATGCAACTCCATTTTCTGATTGCAAATCACAAGCAAGCTTGATTGTGCTTCTCCACAAATCGCAATCTGCTCAGATGTGAAGTTATACTAAAAATACGCTCAAGACGTTGCGTACGTATGTGGCAGAGATATGATAGCAGTAAGCTGCAGATCACTACGTAATATATAACGAATTCGTTGTTTACCCATTAACCCTCTGATAGTTGGATTATGGCAAACGAGGAGGGCGCAGACGTAAAAATTATGATGAAATACACTGATCTTTGGAATTGGATTGCTGCCAAGTGGCATGCGTTTTGGAACGCTGCCAAATTTCAAAAGAGTGACCAAGCATATTTTCGTAAAAGGGTCACACGGGTTTCGGAAGGCAATCATGAGTGTCGCAATAATTTTGAGACTGTGACGCCAGTGTCCGGGTGTGTTATTTGTACCAGCTTTTCAAAATTGAACTTGTTATCCCAGAATGTGTCTTTCAAATATGTTCTACTCCTATTATGCTTTTGAAATGATGCCAAATTGCGTGAAAGCGTGACTTGAGCTAAATTCATCTATATTCTCAACTCTTCGTAAAAATGTTCTAACAACAGTCACTTTAGGATTATCTTGCTTCCGCGTGTAGACAAGACAGTGCGTGAATAACTTAGTCTCGCTGGTACTTTTGGAAGCGTTTATTTAACAACAGCCTTGCTTTTGCTTATGTAACTGAGTCCCGCTGGTTTCAACTGGGTATCGGTGTGTAAGCGGCACGTAGGGCAATTCCATCGGGCAGGGAACAGATTTTTGTTCTTTTGGGGCAGTTCTCAGAATTGAAAGTCCAAGAGTGGCATGCACGGCAGTTTGAGAATACGCTGTAAATACTTGATTTCGTTTTCTCCTTCTAGAGTCGTAAAATTGGCTTTTCATATATACGATCTTCAAGCGGCACATAAGGCACTTTCTTTTTGAATAGTTACTCTCGGTCTGTAAGCGGCATGTAGGGCAACCCGATCGGGCAGGGAAACAGATTTTTGTACGTTTGGGGCAATTCTTGTAATTTTTTGACGGTCTTCAAGCGGCTGTAGGGCATGAACTGTCTTTCAGATAGATAATTGGTTTGTAAACGGCACGTAGGGCAACCCGATCGGGCAGAGAAACTGATTTTTGTTTGTTTGGGCAGTCCTTATAATTCTTAAACGGTGTTCAAGCGTCACGTAGGGAATAAACTTTCATTTTGAATAGTTACTCTCGGTCTGTAAGCGGCACGTAGGGCAACCCGATCGGGCAGGGAAACAGATTTTTGTATGTTTGGGGCAGTTCTTATAATTCCTAAACGGTCTTCAAGCGGCACGTAAGGCATAAACTTTCTTTCTGAATAGTTACTATCGGTCTGTAAGCGGCACGTAGGGCAACCCGATCGAGCAGGGAAACAGATTTTTGTACGTTTGGGGCAATTCTTGTAATTTTTTGACAGTCTTCAAGCGGCACGTAAGGCATAAACTTTCTTTCTGAATAGTTACTATCGGTCTGTAAGCGGCACGTAGGGCAACCCGATCGAGCAGGGAAACAGATTTTTGTACGTTTGGGGCAATTCTTGTAATTTTTTGACGGTCTTCAAGCGGCACGTAGGGCATAAACTTTCTTTTTGAATAGTTACTCTCGGTCTGTAAGCGGCACGTAGGGCAACCCGATCGGGCAGGGAAACAGATTTTTGTATGTTTGGGGCAGTTCTTAGAATTCCTAAACGGTCTTCAAGCGGCACGTAAGGCATAAACTTTCTTTCTGAATAGTTACTATCGGTCTGTAAGCGGCACGTAGGGCAACCCGATCGGGCAGGGAAACAGATTTTTGTACGTTTGGGGCAATTCTTGTAATTTTTTGACGGTCTTCAAGCGGCACGTAGGGCATAAACTTTCTTTTTGAATAGTTACTCTCGGTCTGTAAGCGGCACGTAGGGCAACCCGATCGGGCAGGGAAACTGATTTTTGTATGTTTGGGCAGTCCTTATAATTCTTAAACGGTCTTCAAGCGTCACGTAGGGAATAAACTTTCATTTGAATAGTTACTCTCGGTCTGTAAGCGGCAAGTGGGGCAACCCGATCGGGCAGGGAAACAGATTTTTGTATGTTTGGGGCAGTTCTTATAATTCCTAAACGGTCTTCAAGCGGCACGTAAGGCATAAACTTTCTTTTTAAATAGTTACTATCGGTCTGTAAGCGGCACTTAGGGCAACCCGATCGGGCAGGGAAACAGATTTTTGTATGTTATGGTAGTTCTTGTAATTTTTTAACGGTCTTCAAGCGGCACGTAGGGCATGAACTGTCTTTCAGATAGATAATTGGTTTGTAAACGGCACGTAGGGCAATTTGATCGGATAGGGAAAGAAATTTTTTACACGCTTGTGCAGTTCTTATGATTGACGATTTTTGGGTGGCTCCCTTTTGTAGTAAGGCTTCATATTTCTTTGGCGAAAAAATTGAAGGATTCTTTGACAAATTTCTTAGACGACTGATTTCGTTGCTGTCGGAACTGATTCTGAGAGAAAAGTGTTTTTTGTAATACACATAATTCCTATGGTGTATTTCTACTTCCAAAACGATATGTTCTGCTACTTACTTAACGATCTTTTATGGAACTTGATGAGAAGAACTGAAAGAGCAAATTCTCTTTGAGAGGGTAGAAAAGTGGGAGGGGGGGGGTTATCTGAATGTCTGTGTGAGGAGGGAGTTTGCATAAAAAGCGTGTAAACGAGATAAAAATAATACCATGCATGGATCAGGAATTTCGAAAAATGAGTGATTTGTGGAGAATATTGCTTCTTCGAGCAGTTTTCCTTTTGTAGAATGCTCTTCGCAAAAATGTTCTCAGCAACAGGAAATTTATTTAGAAATATTTTTAGTCAAACCTAAGCCCTATATGTATGTGCCCCGACCCACTTGCTAGCGACCCGTAGGGTCGCTAGTCTTATATATTTGTTAGGTTGTATCTTTTCATGTTTTCTAATCTCTGCTGTCTCGTAATAATTTTTGACTTCGAAAATCCCATTTTCTCACAATTTGTCGGTGGTTTGGATTACTAGACAAAGCTGATCTGTACAGTATGGGGTCTATTGCATAAAGTATGAATCATACTGTATGATTCATGTGTAGTTTGATGCTGAGTCTGAAAATATATGGAGGTGGTACCCGGGCAGAAAATATATATCAACAATTGGACCTTCCTCAGTGAATGCTCACTTGTATCCTCATGTTCTTGATAGGCGCTTTATATTGCTAAATATATTTTCCGCTGTTGAAGACTGAAAAACAAAAATTTTTTTGAAGACACTCGGGTACGGTTTTTTCGAGTTTTTTGTCAAGTGGTATATTCGCAAGTTAGTGAATTCACAAGGTACCTTAAGGCCTGAGGCATACCTCGCGCGATTTCGTCAAATCGCTACATCCACGCAACTTGGCGTTTTGCCAGATGCCTACAGTTTAATCGTGCGCGAGTATCACATGCATAGGCGCGAGCCTCTGTAAATCTCACAAAAGTACCAAGTTAGACCTAAGCAAAGTGCGTTTACAAATAATTATGAAGAGTTGTTGCAGTCACAAATCGCGCAACGACTGGAATCGCGTGAAGTATGTCTTCTCAGACTGTCGAAGGATGACTGCGGAGGGCAAATGGCGGGGGTCTACCACTTCGTGCTCCGGAGCCCTCCCATTTCCGCCAGATTTGGAGGAGTCCCGAAGCATCAAAATGCGTGAAATGGGAGGGCCCCGGAGCAACAAGTGGCAGACCCCCGCCATTTGTCCTCTGGAGGTATATATCCCTTCGACTATCTGAGTTAGGCCTAGAAATATGTGCCAACTGATTCATCATGAATAGCCCTGTTGCCTTGGGGTTTTCAGTGAGCCTATTTGTATTATTCGCAAAGCTTAGTTCAAGCTTTGCTTCACAATACAAAATGAATCACTGGTCTGTCTTTATTACACTAATATGAAAAAGATTTCCGACCATTGAAAGCCACATTTTGAAAAGGAATGAAACCACTACTAGGCTAACCAGGAATGATATCCACGAAAGTCCCCGCGAAATGGGCTTTTCGTGCGAATAAAATGAACTTAGTCCATGCGGTGCGATAAGATATCGCATTCGCGAATCCATTCATTCCATGCAAAAATGCTTCAGCAACCCTTTCTTCAACTTGCCTCAACCTGTTTACTCACTCTTGCAAACTCATTTCCACCAGGTGGTTGATTTCTGACTAGGCTGTCTTAATATTACAATGTCAGTCACGTGGATTTTTTATTCTTTCCCACTTCGTTACACCTCACAAAATACCATTTGTTGTTGACGACTATGCTCTAAATTACCTCCAAGAATGAAATTCATATAATATCT